GTAGAATTCTGGCATGATCAACAACCCACAGCAAGAGTTCCACCCAAGCAGGATGACATACATCAGCTAGATATAAAGTTATTAGTTCATCCACAGCAAAGCTGGGGAAACTGGTTTGAACTTATAAAGCCCTAAATGGCTTGGGTCCAAGCTATCTCAAGGACTACATCTCCCATTATGAGCTGGCTCCGGTCTTGAGACCCTCAGGAGAGGCCTTCCTCTCCTTCCGACCACCTTCACAGGTGCATTTGGTGGAGACATGAGAGATAGGGCCTTTCTCTGTGGCTGCTCCCAGAGACTCTGGAACTCCCTCCCACTGGAACTCCCTCCCACTGGAGGCCAGACTGGCCCCCTCTTGGCTCTCCATGACCTTTCTCTTCAGACAGGCTTTCCCAGGGTGACTGGCTGTCTGAGTTGGGGGTTTAAACGGATGGTGGTGCCTTGCCTGCTTTGAGTTTTTGGTGTTGCTACTGTTTCCTGCTTCTTAAGACTGGAATCCTCTTGATCTTTTTTAGCATTTGCGTACTTCTCGTTTTTAGCTTTCGACATTATCTTTTAAATAAAATTAAAATTCCACAGCCCTTCCCAGACTCCAGCTCCCATCAGCCTTCCCCACCCCACCCCCCAGGGCCCCAAATAGCGAGAAATTTTGTCCCATGCAATCCGGGAAGTCAGCCCTGGTTTAAAAGGGTTGGGGGGGGAGAGATATTTGCTCAAGATGCAGCAAATCAGATGCTATCAAAAGGGGGGCTTCGGTAGGTTCCCCAGTGAAAGGGGCCCAAAAGAGAGCAGTAGGACTTCTTAGTCTTGTTCCAAGGCAGCAAAAGGAAAACTCCTCTTTCCGGCTGCCTCATTTTCCTCCTTGAGAGGATACTGCCCCCATCTCGATCGCTTCTCCACAGGGCTGAGGAACGGCCTCTTTCCTGCTACTGACCTTTCCCACCCTCTACCCCCTACAAATGGCTCAAATGCCCCTCTCCCTATTAAATCTCTCTCTCCCTTTGGCTGCCAGGAAATGAAAGACAAATTATGCCATTAAACAATGAGAACTTGGGAGTTTGATTATTCTGCTGAAAGCAGCAGAAACATTAAAACAGCTGGATATGTACAAATACCCGCTCTCACGCATCACGTTAAGCATGGAGGAAAAATACGACTCTACTGGTTTCTGCCTTCAAATTAAAAAGGGGGAAGATGAAGAAAAGCAAGAAACTCTCCCACTCCAATTTTTTTTTCTTCTTCCCTTGTCTTTCATCCGGTTTCTTTTACCCTGAGATCCTTTTGCCAGCATTACATTCAGAAGCTGATTCTGGTCTCTAAGGAAATGAATTTCAGAAGACCGGGAGTTACGTGGCTCCAAGCCGTGGATACAAGCGCTCGCAGAACCTACAAATATATACATAAAAATGATTTATGAGCCATCTCTAGGTCAGTAAAGATTAAACTTTTCCAGACAAGAACAATTTAAACAATGCAATTCGGGGGGAGAGGGTGGAGGCGGGAGAGAGACACGGTGCAAAAGCTATTTATCCCCAATGTATTCTGAAGGTTATCATCACTCTGGAGTGGAAGGTAATTCAGGTGGGCTCGGAGCAAGCCATCCCAATGAAGCTTACGATGCCGGGCGAATATTGGCAACATTGCAAATTATCTGCAGAAGATAATGGGGGCGGGGGACCTTGCAGATGATGCCACTCTTTCTTGGGAATCCTGCCGGGGGTTGCACGAAGACAGATCCGTAGCCATCTGCAATGCCCCAGTGAATTACCACTTTTGAAAAAAAGGGTGGTCGTTGGATGCTTGGTGGAACTGTATCTATTTGGGCAATCGGCTTGCCAGCTTAAGCCCTCTGGCTACCAGTTCCTGTCCTCCCTTCTCCCTGGCCATCTCAGGGCGTGCGTCTAGCAGTGAATTCCAGAACATCTGAGGTTTACTTCTGCCTCGTCTAAGAGATCCACCCGCCCTCAAGAGCGAGCCCACTTTTGACATGAGCAGGGGACTGGACTCGGTAGCCTTATAGACCCCCTTCCAGCTCCAGGATCCTAGGATCCTGTGAGGCTGGGGCCACTCGGGAAATAAGACTATACACCAGACTTTTCTAGTCCCCAGCCGTCACCTGTGCCTCCCAGCACCAGACAAAATTAGAATTTAAGAATACATATTTTTAAAGGAAATAAGACATGGATGTCTACGCCCAGTTCTGAAAAGGGGTGCTGCTGTTGTACCCCGAGAAGGGGAGACAGGACTTGCAGCCTCTTTTAAAAAGTGAATCTCTGCTCCTAGAGCACAGAATTCCCCCCCCTTTTTTTAAAAACACATTGCAAAATACGCTCTTATTCCTCCAAGAAAAGCGCATAGGTCCACCTTCTACGATTCAGACAAAGGAGTCCAATTCTCGAGATGGACGAATAACCAATGGTCAAGATGTTCCACCTTTTTCGGAGGACTGGATAGTTCAGTGGTGGGGGCCTCTGGCTGCAGAGCCAGAGGTTGGGAGCTCGATTCCCCCACGGGGCCTCCTAGTCTACGCCCAGTTCTGAAAAGGGGTGCTGCTGTTGTACCCCGAGAAGGGGAGACAGGACTTGCAGCCTATTTTATGAAGTGAATCTCTGCTCCTAGGGCACTGATCCCCCCTTTTAAAAAACACACCTACAGAGTAGAATGGCCAAGCCCCTTTTTCCCGCACTCTATTCCCAAACTTGGTCCTTCTTCCACCAAGGCTCCAATTCACCCCAAAGGAAAAAACTCAACCGAATCTCAGTGTGGATGAGAGGAGATGCACCCGGCCCTTCCACACTGGGCTCCCAAGCTATTTTTCATTCATTGAAGCTTGAAGAACCAATGGCCCCCTTTTTGCCACTTACTGCCTTGGGCCAGCTGCATCGTCCCAGGGCTACCCCTGGAAGAAGGGAATGACGAACCACTTCTGAGTTACTCTCTACCCAGAAAACCCCGAAAAGGGTCATCATAAGTCAGAACTGGCTTGACAGCATGATTATAATATTCAGGTCGCTCCCAGCCTGCAAGGAAGCTTGGACAGAATGGCCAAGCCCCTTTCTCCCGCACTCTTTCCCCAAATTTGGTCCATCTTCCACCAAGGCTGCAATTCGCCCCAAAGGAAAAAAAACTCAACCGAATCCCAGTGTGGAGGAGAGGAGATGCACCCGGCCCTTCCACGCTGGGCTCCCAAGCTATTTCTCATTCAAGCTTGAAAAACCATAAAAGATCTGGGCACCCGGTTCTTGCCATCTTCTCTAGAATATTAGAAAAACAAGGAGGTCTCCACATGCCCCCATTTTGCCACTTACTGCCTTCCAGTTTCTCTCCCCCCCCTGCCCACCCCGCTCGCTGTAGCACAACATGTGCAAAAGGAACCCAGGAAGACGTATGGAGAAGGCGTTGCGAGGACCGACGCCTCCTGCATTTACAGATGTCCTTTTTTCCCTCGCCTCTTTACGAGGCCATAAAAGTGCTGGAACGGTTTCAGGTGTGGTCATTTCGCCAGCCCGGGACATCTTTCCAGCTGCGCGTAAATACTCCGCGCGCCAAGTCAGGGGCGTTGAGGTAGGCTTTTCCATCAGCGTAAATCGCTCCCGAGGGGAAGCTGCCGCGTTTCCAGAGCGCGCCCGTTTTTCGGCGGCAAAATGGATGGCCAGATGATGCGAAAGGGCTGCCAATTCCAGAAGAGCGGTAGGATTTTTAAATAGTGCCAAAAACAAAAGAAGGTTTATTCTCTCCCCCACCTCCATCTTTCATCCCAGGCGTTCAAGCACTGGATCTGATCCGCAAGTACCTCGGCCCCAACGCTGAGAACGCCTGTCATGGACTGATCGCCCTCTCCCCTTAAGCGGGTGGTTCTTCCTCACTCGGGTCCCTCTTCCTTTGACCCAACTTGGCAAGTCAACAGTAGCAGCCTTTTTTTATTCTTATTCTTATTTTACCTTGGTCCCGTGCAAAGTCCGTCACCTGCTGCTCCAGCTGCTTCCTCAAACGGTCGTTGGTTTTGATCGACTCCTCCAGCTGGTGCCTCAGCATCCGAATCTCGTGGAGATGCTCCATTAAGAGCTCTAGACGGAAAGGTCAGGGAAGGGACCAGGTCAGTCCGGAACAAAAGTGTGGGGTGTGTGTATTTGTATGTGAGTGAAATACAACTCCTTACAAGTCAAACACAGCTACGGCGGAAATAGATTTAGCCCCTGCCGCTTAAAAGGGGCAGGTAGAGAGCAACACAGAGGCCCTTCGGAGCATCAACAGTGATCACCCCGGATTCTTCTAACTGTAGGCAAATTAAACCCTCTACCGTCTTCTAAAAAGGCAGCTAAAGAGAGACATGGAAACTATGGGGCTGGGTCCCCCTCTGCTTCCTCTTTGCTGCTTATTCAAGAGCCGCTGAGCCTGGCAACTTGAGATGATAACAGCTGCACTCATATCTAGAAAAGACATTTGCAAAGTTGCAGTGCCACCGAGCGAAGGCCACTTGATCCCGCTCTATGCCCAAAGATCCCTGAGAAAGATTACAACGGGCGAGCCCCAGAATTACCAAGAAAGGCTCTCAAATGCAGCTTTGCTGGACCACAGATGCCCCGATTCCACTCTGCAAAGCCGGGCGTGCTCGGCACCACGGACGCCGGTTTTTCCTCCCCCCTCCCCCTTGATGTACAAATAAATAAAGAACTTTATGCCACCTCCGTCTCGCTCCAGCTGAGTACCTCTAAGGCCTTCCTTCGTAGAGAGACCCGTCTCCCTCCACTGGCTGTACATTCCCACAGTGATCGGAAAGGCGTTCTATTCTTTACCCATTTCAGCCAATTAAGGAAAAAAAAAAGAATAGGGAAAAAAAATAAAAAGAGCAACTGCCGGGCTCCTTTATTTTATTGGCGCGTTTCTCCAGCGCCGTCGGCTTTCAACTCAAGCTCCTAGCAGAACCTGCGTAGCAAACATTGATTCCGCCAGGTGTACATTTCCAGGTCAACCCACACTCCTCCTATCAATTATGTAGCATGTTCTCATCCTGAGGAAACACTACCCTGGCTTTTAGAAAAGCGGCAAACCACATAATTTAATCATCATCTGTCAAACCTTAGGAGTGTTTTTCCCTCCTCCTCGCGCTGCGAAGGGGAAAAAATATATATAGAAAGGAAAAACAAACCCAGACAGAAAAGACAACTAGAAAGGATGAAATCGTGGAAGGAACACACGAGCGCATTGCCCGTATGTAACAAAGGTGCTCGATCTTTCTGAGTCTAAGGTCAGCATGGGATGCTTGCTGGGGGTGAGGAGTTACCCACATAGAGAACACTGTCTGCTCTCCACCAGCATGGCAAAAGCCATACAATTAATTAATTCAGTAAGTTAAATAAAAATTGCTGGACAGCTCAGTGGTTTAGATCTCTGGCTACAGAGAGGTTGGGAGTTCAATTCCTCGCGGTGCCTCCTTGACAGGGACTGGACTCCATGATGCTTCCAAATTATAAAATTATTAAGACATAAGTAAATCTTCTCTATTAGCAGGGTGACCACAAACCCTATTTAAAAACTATGAAGTTAAAAACATCAGACTAATTAAACAGGATTAGTATGAAATCAATAGAGGGGACAGAGGAACATTCCCAACGAGGGGGAGATCCAAGCCACCATGAGCACTGGGTTCAAGTCCTCGTGCAATACCCTTTCCCCCACCTCCAGCAAAGGCCATCAGTCGTGTTCCGCTGACTCTGCACCTCGAGTGCCTTTTGCAGCGGGAGGGCAGAGCTGGGGGTCCCTCAGAGTCATCTAGTCCAGCCCCAGCTGGAGCCAGAAATCCCTAACAGGTAAGCCATTTACCTGGGGGAAGCTTCGACGGTGTGACGGGCAGCGTTTCATTTCCGCCTCGAGCCGCGGCTTTGTCCTGCCCGGGCGGTTCCAAAGAGGATGATTTTTGGGAGATCTCTGAGTAAGACAAGCTAGAGAAGCAAAAGAGATGGGTGGATATCGTGAAGGCCCCAGTTACAGTCTGGAAGGCACTGTTTTTTTTTGGGGGGGGGAGAGAAAGGGTTCGCTTAAAGGACAATTTCTTGCCAGGACGACTCTTCAGGGACCACATGGACTGCCCAAAAGACCCCTTCAAATAGTGACAGCTTCCAACTTTGGAAAAAATTGGTATTTTGGAGTGCCTAACAGAAAACTGGACACCCCCCCATCCGATCTGCTTTGATTTGGATTCCTGCCTTGGGTGGGGTGGGGTTAGACTAGATGTCCTTCGAGGCCCCTTCCCGCTCGGTCCTTCCACGAATCTATGAACGGTGCAGAGAAGCAGAGGCTGTGACTTGTTTACAAGGCAAATCACCACTTCTGGCCGCAATCCAGCTTTATCACCCGAGGACATTTTATTTAATTAATTAATTGATTGATTGTATTAGCTGCCCAGAGCAGCTCTGCTCTACTATGGGCAGCTAAAAGCAGGAAACAGAATAGAAAGAATAACCCACCCACGACATAAACCGCCCATAATAAAAACCAATGGGATGAGGTTGCTCTGGGGGACAGAGGGGGGTCCCAGGGTAAGATCCCGCTCCCTAACAAAATGGATCTACTGCCCTCACCCCCGCCCTGGGGAGGCTGGAACTGCTGCTACGTATCCCATTAAAGGGGGCGGGGGGGGGAAACTGAAAGACAAATATATTCACTCAGTGTTTGCATTGATTCTTTAAGCTGGAAAAATCATGGCCTTCTCGCTCGCTCGCCTTAAAGAGTTTTGCGAAGTATGAATTTCTTAACTCTCTCCCAGGGGAAGAAACGCAACCAAACGTCTAGGGAAACCACGGATCGTGGCCAGGTGGGCCTTCCAGCCCCCATTCGAAGGTCATTTTAAAATGTGCAAGTGCTGGAAGTTCATCTCAAGCTGCCACGAAATCAGCGAGCGAGGGGAGCAAACGCGCACGCCGGACGTACCTTCGGGTCAGGCCCCCGAGCTGAGCCGCCTCGTCCTCTACGGGTCCTCCTGTAAAGGGGGATCGAGAAACATGGTTTGCGAAGCCAGCTCGGGAGGGCGCCGGTTTTCCCAGCTGCTTTGTTCAAATTAACAAGCCACTTTCCCAAATGGAGGAGAACTCTGTGGTCCAAACACAGCCCTACAAGGCGGAACACTGAGTTTGGTTGGAACACATCTCCCATCAGTCCTACCCTGCATGCTGGGGATTCGGAGCAATGGAACTTGTAATCCACCAATAATTTAATCATCATCATCTTGGAACTGCAGAGCTGGAAAGGGACCCTATGGATCACCGTGTCTGGCCCTTCTTAAAAAGGCCCAGTGGAGAATCGAACCCCCAACTTCTGGCTCCACACCATGACCCCTAAGCTGTACCTGGAAGGGCCCCCAGTCCCCTCTGCTTGCAGTTGACTCTATACGGTCTGGTTCCCACCACGCTTGAATATTCTACCCCAACCTTCTGTTTTATTTTTAAACTTGTGATTCAGCGCAACCCTGTTGCGCCGAGATATATTGGGTTGTCTCCGTTGTCAGCAGCTTCATTAGTATATATGATACCATCTGCTGATTCGAACGGAAAGACGTTTTAATGTTTATTCGCTGGAGAACCTTATTTCCAATGCAAAGAATCTGATATATGATAATTGAATACACTCAGTCTTGGGAGGCTGCTGGAGAGGCACGCAAGGCGTAAAGGCTGCGGCTCGGATTGAAACCTCTTGCTACCTGCAGTCAGAAGGGCATCGGATCTCGAAGCGTTCTGTAAACCCACAAAGTTACGGTTCTGGTGGCCGGATGCGGCAGAGCCTCAGCACCGCATCCTGCTGGCACCAGCTGCCACAAAGCAGAGATTCTGCTCCTGAATTTCTTCATATATTTACAGGGAGGTTTAACGGGCTGGACAATTAATTCCAGATCATCCGAACCCAGAACCGACGACATCACCACCCACCAGGTGGCTGCCTCAGCCCTGAGAGATGTTCAGTGGATACCACGTTGTGCACCGTGACACCCAGAGGTTTAGTTGGCGGGACCACGAGACGGGGCCTTCTCTGTCGCTGCACCTCACCTGTGGAACTCCCCGCCAGGGGAAGTCAGGTTGGCTCCATTCCCTGAGCTTCTGAGTAGGCAGGGCAAACTGCAATATTTTTCTTTAATGTCAGCTTTTAACGAATGTTTCCAAACTGCTGTTAAGGGACATTTTAATAAGCTTTTAAATGATGTCTAAAATGTGTTGTAACTGATTTTTAATATGCATGGTGCATCGCTTTGAAGGTGGGCGGAAAAGCGAGTGACTAATATTTTTAATTACAAAAAACGGCAGATGCCTAGATTAAGCTGCTCTTTGTTTGGCCTCATCCAGTCCTGAACTGGACCAGGACCTGAAAACAAGAGAGGAGTCGCATGTTATCTGAATACAGATGGGTGCATGGCTCATATCCCTTGCTTGTTGTCTCCTATAACCTAACAAACTCTCCCAGGAATCTAAACGAATCAATTACCTTTCGGAGCAGTCCAAAGTTACTCCGCCTTGCGGAGTGGAGCAAGAACAAACCTCAAAAAGGCTAGACCAGACACAGGCCTTTAGAGCTAAGATTCATGGTTGATTAAGGAGAAGATGTGGCCACCCACCGTACAGACACTGCTCTTCCAAGTGTTCGAACAGCCGGGCGCTTCGGTTGAGCTGCTCCCGGAAGCCCTCGGCAACGTAATAATCCACTTCGCTCGCCTGCAGGAGCTCCTCAAACGCTCGGATCAGGTTGGTCAGGTGCTGGCGGTAAGCCACACAGAGGGTGTGGCTCTCTCGGATTTTCTGGCACTGGTCCTCCGGTGCCGGTGATCTGACGGGGGAGTCGGGTCTGGAAAACAAAGGCCAACTGTCCAAACACGGTGCGACTCGTTTTTAACCAAGTTAATGAGCGATACCTCAGGCTAGATTTCTTGTTCAAGCCCAAACAGCAGCAAAGAGGTCTTGCGGCCCCTTCTGCGACCCCCTCGGAGCTCACTTGGATTCAGATGTGTTTACAGTGAAGAACTATATTTATATATAAATTATAAAAGAAATTTATATTTCTTTTAAGCTCCAGGTGCACGGGCGACCCAAGATCTGACCAAGGTCGTGGTCGCCAGTCCCATGTAAAACAGGCCAGCCTCTAAGGTGGGGTGGATCTGTGCTGTCCAGTTGGAACTGACTTTCAAGGTAAAGGAAATTCCACCAGGGCCACACCACCTCCTGTGAATTTCCAGGGCTGAGTGGGTACTCGAACCCTCGTCTCCAGAGTCCGAGTCCATCATTCTGTCCACTCCAGCCTGCACGGTAAGGAGGGATCGAGGGAGGCCCTCTGGACCCCGAAGGCCAAAGGGAGAATCTCCTGATCCTCTCTTGGTGCCGCCTCCAAGCCCCTTCCTTCCAAACCCCTTCCCCGAACGTCTGCCTCGTTGCTACTCACCCCTCCAGCAGGACCCCCTTCAGCCTTCTCTGCAGGCGGCACACCTTGTCCAGGAGGTGCATGTTTGCAATCTGCTCTTTTTCTAGCTCCACCTCGTTTTCCGACAACAGCTCCTGGAGCTTTTCCACCAAGGCTTCGTGGTGCGGCTCGGACAAGCGGGAGGCAAGATCCTCGACCGGCATCGGACCGGCCGCTTGCTGGGGGTCGCCGGAGGTCCGAGACTCAGGCTTGCCGCTGTCCGGCACCAGGGGCGTGCCATTGTCCGGAAGGCGTTCTCCTCCGTCCTGGACCACTTCGAGGGCATCCCCAGAAGGCAGTTCTTTGTTAGGCCCGACAAAATTGGCTGCCAGCGTGCGGTACTTGGCCAGCTCGGACTTCAGATCCTGAACTCTCTGCTTCAATTCCTTGATGTCATCGGTGGCTTCGCAGTCGAACGCCTCAACGCCCGCGACGCTCGGCTGGAGAGACAGAAGGCTAGCAGTGGTCATTGTGTCCGCATCCAGCTTCGTGGGGACAGCCGGGGCGGGATCCGGACTCGGTAGATTTGACTCGGGCTTGTCGGTTTCGATTTCTGCAAATGTACAAGAACAAAGAGATGAAGACTAAACCTTAGGAACAGCTTCCTGGCGGTCTGAGGGGTTGAGAGGAGGACAGACGGCCCTGGAAGTTGGTGACCTCACCCTCTTTGGAGGTGTTTAAAACAGAGGTTGGGTGTCCACTGTCAAAGAGGCCTTAGCTGTCCCTTCTTGCCTTAGCACTAGTTGGGCGGGCCCCTACTTTGGGTCCCCAGGTGATCCTGGGCTAAAACGCCCAAAAATCTTCCCCACTACCTGTGCCCGGGGACCTAAGGTTGAGAAACGCTGGACTAGATTAACCTTGGGGTCCTCCCAAATCCACCACTCCTTCAATTCTAGATGAAAAGGTTCTCCTGAAAGTTAGTGATTACAGACAGAAACTCCCCATCTTCTGCAATCAAGGATCTAGGGAGGTTCCCAAACTTGGGTGACCTGGGTCTTCTTGGACTAAAACTCCCAGAAGTCATCACCACCCACTGTGCTGGCCGGGGGTTCTGGGAGTTGTAGTCCAAGAACACCTGAGTGATCCAACATTGGGAACCACCAGTCTAGGGAACTCACAAGGAGGCGATCAAGCCATGTAGAGAGGGTCAAAATCCTTACTAAGGGGTGCTGAGCAAACCTACGTTTGTTCCTTCTGCTTCTGGGATGCTTCGCTGGGCAGGCCGTCTGGCCATTTCCAAAGGAGGGCACGGAGGGACTCGGCACCCCACGGTACAAGCGTAAGGCCTGTTCATTCCGGCAAGATCTCTAGCTTACACAACGCCAAGCGAGAAATCGCACGGGATCTCCACCCGAAAGGCACAGCCTGTAATTTTTGAAGGCCTCTTTGTTCTCCCAGCACGGCTCTGCCGTAAGGCTCGTGGTGTTCGGCTTATTTATCATCTGCAATAAACAATTCTGCTACGTTTTCGGAAAAGCGGACTGGGGTTGGGGCAAGAGAAAGCCACGGGTCGGAAAGCTTCAGAAATCCAAATACATTTGCCAACGGCTTTTAAAACACAGAAGCCGGACGACCGAATTTCTGTGGCTCAGAGGGAGGGAGGCACACTTCTCCTGATTATATGGAAACCAGTTGTCATAAATAGCAGCGACCCTTTAAAGGAAGTAAAATTCTTAACAAGCTGTAGCTAGAGCTCTGGAGCCTGCCGGTTTGAGCTAATTAAATAAGCAGTATTTAAAAGCCACCAACAGCGGTAAAAAAGGGGGGATTAACTCCAGCACAGGAGCCGTTTGCCACAATTAAGATATACAAGTAACAAAGCGGCCTCATTCTGCAGACCCAGGTGCTCCCTCCATCTGACGTGCTGCTGAGCATCTCCCTGATACCTTGGCCTGTGCTTTGGTCCTTGCTACTGGGGTCAGCTTTGCTTCTGTTGCTGGAGAAACTGGTGTCTGCTTCGGAGCCTTGCAGTTTGAGCGATGGATCAACTGGGGGAAAGGTGGAAAGAAGATGACTATATATGGACCCCGGCCCCCATCGCCTCTCCCAACCAAAATTAGTTTTACTAGCCAGAAAAAAAGGGAAGTCTAGTCTCTAGTAACGGAAATGAATTTATGGTGCTATAATGTGATCATAACCGCCCCCAGTGTTTCAAAACTGAAAAGAGCCTTTTAGATATTCCATTTTTTCCATCCTTTTCCATTACAGGCAGTCCACGAGACAAACCCATCTTGTTGGAGCAGAAAACTGGCCCACCAACCCCACCAGTTCAGGAAAACCAAAAACGCAGGTCCGAAAAGGACAACGATCTCAGCCCTGCGAATCATCATCCTGTTATTAACTTCCGAACGCGTTGTCATAAATCCGGGCGACCCTTCCGAGAGTGTCATCTGAAAAGATGACAACAGAATTCTCCGCGGCCGCTCGTCTGGGCTAATTAAAGTCGGCAATATTTAAAAGCTACAGGGGTAAAACGAGACCATTAACTCCAGCAAAACAACTGTTTGAGATATAATGCACAACTGACAAAATGTTGAGCTGCTTCTGCCGACGCGGCTCCTCTCCCGCACACACACAGAGCAAACTGCCGGGCACTCCTCCGATACCTTGGCTGGTGCTTCCATCCTTGCCCGATGCGGCGTCTTGGCTTCCCACGCTGGACAAGCTAACATCTGCTTCGGTGTCATCCAGTTTGATCAAGGATTCCACTAGAGAAACACCGGGAAGGGTTGTCAAGAGCAGGCAAATTTCCGTTGACGGGAAAAACAAAACATGCATTTTGAAAACGTGATCCCCTCGATCATGTTGCGTGTGCTGGATCTGGTCTGATGTCAACAGTTAAGCAGTCAGGCCCAGTGAGTTCTGGATGGGAGGCCACCAGGGAAGAGAAGACTCTTCAGAGAGGGCGAGGAAGGAGTCCCGGCTGATACTTAGCGGTGGGCTAAAGCAGATCGAGGGCCCAACTGAGCGTAAAGCAGCTCCCTAGGTTTCTAAAGGAATTATTTTAGCAACCTAGAAAAGCACACTGGTCTTCAGAAAGGGCAAGCAAAGGCCTGAAATGCATATCTGCACATCTAGTAAACACTGCTGGATTGCTCAGTGGGTTTGGTGAACGGGCTGCAGAGCGCGAGGTTGGGAGTTTGAAACCACCACCCGGGCCTCCCTGATGGGGGGATGGACTTGATGATCCCTTAGGGTCCCTTCCAGCTCTGCAATTCTCAGATGATTATTGAACTGCTGGATAGCTCGGTAGTTGAGGTCTCCAGAGGTTGGGAATTCAATTCCGGACTGGGCCTCCTTGAGAGGGGTTGGACTCGATCATCCCTAAGGATGATTATCCTTTCAAGAGGGGTATTGGGAAGGCCATCTCTTCCTTAAGGGGCTCAGGGTGTTCCCAAAAATCAGTAAAGTGCTCTCTCTCTCTCCCTTGCTGGCTGGTCCTGAAGGAGAATGGTGACCGGACGGGGTGGCTTGCCGTTTCTTCTAATTCCCCACTGGGCCTCCTTGAGAGGGGTCGGACTCGATCATCCCTAAGGATGATTACCCTTTCAAGAGGGGTACTGGGAAGGCCATCTGTGTGCCCAAAAATCAATAAAGTGCTCGCTCTCTCCCTCTCCCTTGTTGGCTGGTCCTGAAGGAGAATGGCGACCAGACGGGATGGCATGCCGTTTCTTCCATACTTTGTCTGGCCTTCGAAGCCCAAGGTGGCCTGAATCTAGTTTTGCCAACCAGGGTTTTGAGATCCACTGAGGTTTGAAGTTTCAGCCAAAACAGAAAAGGGGGACAGCATTCATATTTTTTTACCTGCCACCTTTTGGTACACAACGAGGGTTTCAGAATTGCTCCCAGAGAACGGCTTTCAGCCAAGAGGCTCTCCTCGATTAGAAACGGAGAAATGCTACAGGTAGAAGTCTTGTATGCTTTTCCCCGAGGCGGATGACACACTTTTCCTGTCCGACGGAGGACAAATTTTCCGCCACACTGAGTAGAATTCTTCTAAAAACCCCAAAGTGCCCTAAGATCCCAAACTGTGCCGGCCAACCTAGGGATGAGGAGGAGGAGAAGCCCGAGGGCTTCCACAACGTCTGACTGTGAAGTAATTAGTTCTTAATTAATGCCAGATGCCCACAGGAGAGAAGTTTGGTCCAAATAAGTAAGTGCTGAGAAATGGGGGGGCTGGGATGAGAACCAGCTTGAGTTGGTGAGAGGAGGAGGAGTCTGTGGCTGTAAAAATGAAAAAGAAAATATCCGTGCATTCCCACTGTGTGGGTAGGGAGTGCCCGGCCTTTCCATCTACATGAAGTTAAAGGCGGTGAAAGAACTTTAGCCTAAAAGGTCCAGCAAGAACCCGACACATTTGAGAGAAGATAAGAGGTGGCCTCCCTTCCAAGGCTTAACCAGGCCCATCCCCGCTTAGCGGTCCAAATCAGATCCAACAAGGTGTGTTCCAGGTGATGACGTATTCGGAGCTGCTACCAGTGTAAGAATGCACACAGGGCACAGAGAACTTGGTTTGCAGTTACCATCTACTGAAGGAGAACCTTGTTGGGTTAGGCGAGAGGCCTGTTGAGTCCAGCAGGGTTGGGTGATGCTAGTCCTCCAGGTAGCTTTGGACCAAAGCTGCCATAAGCCCTCGCCCCTGGCTGCAGTGTTGGGAGCTGTCGGCCAAGAACGTCTAGAGGGCCACGGATGTCCACCCTAGTTTCTTCAGGGGGCCAACCAGATGTTCCAACAGGAAGCCAAGAAGGATGGCGGGAAGGCAACAGTACAACATCCGCTGGGGTTGAGAGATAGACTGCTCCTGGTGCTGGAGGCCTGATACAGCAGCTCTCCAGAGCTTTAGCCTCCCTTTTTGTTTCGGTTTGTCAAATCCGAGACCCTGTAGTTCCTCCTCTGCAGAACCCTTTGGTTCTCCTTTGCTTCTACTTCAATAGTTCTCCATTTAGAGGACGCCTTTCTGCTGCGATTCAAAGCAGGAAGGTTCTCTGCTTAGCCTTGAGAAAAGAGGACAGAGAGAGGAGAGCACTTTTCAAAGACTTGAAAGGCTGCCATCCAGAGGAGGGGCAGGATCTGTCCTCCAGCCTCCCAGAGGGCAGGACGCGCAACCATGGGCTCAAGTTAAAGGAAGCCAGATTTCGGCTGAATATCAGGAAAAAAACTTCCTGTTATAGCAGTACGACAATGGGACCCATGACCAGGGGGGTGGGGAGGGGGTTTGAGAGCTCCAACGCTTCAAGAGAAAACTGGATCGCCCTCTCTCAGATCTGCTATGATCTGGATTCCTGCCTTGGGGGCAGGGGGTTGGACCCGACGGCCTTATAAGCCCTTTCCAACTCCATGATTCTAGGATGAATAACAAGGATCTGACTGTGGGGAATGGACTGACTTAAGAGGCAGGAGGGACTGCCAGAGAGGCTTAACTGTACATCCCCCCCCCTTGGTAAGAGGGAAGGACTACATAACCCGAGGGAACCAGCCCAACTTCCCGATTCCATTGCACCACAGAGGCACGCAACACACGAGCGTTTGTGCGCTCCACTGGAGATAAAATGTTAAAGCCCGCCTCTTTATTTATTATGCACATTATCTCGGGTTTCCCAATGTGCTTTTCCTCGGCAGCTAAAGTGGCACATAAGAGAATAAGTCTAATAAATAAGACAGTTGCGGAACACTAAAAAATTTTATGAAGACACTTGTTTGCTCGGAGACAGGGAAAGTAGATCATTTTAACACTGTGGACAGGGAAAAGGATTTAATAGTGCGCTCGGCTGGAAGAAAAGCGTCAATGGTGCACAAGAGCACATTCGGTGCTGTGCTGGAGGTGGGGGTGATGGATCGATTCTTTTTTAAGACGGCCCCACAACGCAGCAATTCCTTGGACCGCTGCTTGATTCCCTGAAGCCAAACTACAGATCCTCTCTCTGGTGTCATGTTGGATGTTGAAGAGAAAAACAAGAACATGCCACTCCTTGTTGATATGTCGAGAAGTCAAAAACACTCACTCAACACACACATTTATCATCATCATCACCACCACCATCACCTTAGAACTTCATGGGTGGAAGGGACCCTATGGAAGTAATTCAGCCCCTGTGGCACCTGCTCTGTACCCAGTGACCCTGCCCTGGCTTTCCACCATGCGAATAAACTAAAACCCAGTGACCCTGCCCTGGCTTTCCACCACGCAGACTGGGTCGAGGGCTTGGCCCATGGTCTACATGCTATAAATGGTCTTAGCATCATACAGTACGTACGGTCCCCCACATCTACAAGATCTGTACCTGCAGTTCCACTTATCCACGGTCTGAAAATATATTTTTAAAAAGCAAATAAACTAAAAATATATATTTCCATGATGTATTTACCAGAACTGACCACTAAAGGGTGCCAGAGACCATACTATGTATTCTTGTTGTTGAACTGTGATCTCTGGCACCCCCTAGTGTCCAGTTCTGCTAATACATGTGAACATACTTTTTTTCTGGATTTTTCTCTTTTACTCAGCTATATAGAAATATAGCATTAGCTATTATCAGTGGTTTTCAGCACCCATGGGGGTGGGGCTTGGAACCAATCCCCCACAGATATGTGGGTCCTACAGTAAATACAGATATCCCCTTGTTACCTCCAGCTAATATCCCTTCCTGCTCAGAGGTGCCCTTTTCAGTCCCGTTGGATGGACATTCATCCTTCAGCGGCTGGGCCTCCATGTATCTTCCCTTCAGACCTTCGTCCAGGTTGAACATGCGATGCAGGAGGTGCATGTCCGGCTTCTGGGAGGAGGCACTTGAGGAGACACTTCCTAAGGATCTTGAGGGTTTGAGCAAAACAGGCAAACGGGATTTCTTGGTGGAGTAACAAAGATCGCTCTGAATAACACAGAATAAAACATGTGTTAAGTTCATCAGAAGGGCACCAGTAAGCTTCAGTAGATAGCTTATAGACTGAAATTCAGTTGCAAACATTTTGGAAGGAGAAATAAAGGGGCTAAGTATTTACAGAGGGGGAAATATTTCCACTCTGAAAGAGCTCTGAGTCTCCCCACGAGGCTGTAACAACGAGGTGCTGTGCAATGTGAAACAAGATGAAGACATTTTGTCCATTCGGAGTAAGGGCAGGGAGATATTATCCTCTTTCTAATTTGGCTTTAGGGCGAGTTCATGGAGTCGAATGTGATCCGGCCCGTGGGGCCACAATATTTTCACAGTAGCTTCACGGCTAGATCATGCCCACCGTGAGAAGAACCGCCATCAGGACAATGGCATCAAGTAAAATAAGGGAACAAAAAGTTAGCATTGGAGAAAACTTTGGCCGCATCTACCTTTTCCATGTCGAAAAAGGGCCCACCAATAATGGAATTCAGCCCTCTTTGCCGAGGGAGGTGTGAAAGATTGGGGGAGGAAAAAGAAGAGAGAAACCGCAAACCATGCAAAGAGGCGTCTCCTCCCATTGTGGTTAGCAATCACCTCCATTGTTATCCTGAGGCTCTGAACGGTAGATAGAACAAATCAGATTTCTATAGGTTTTAAAAAGTAATTCTTATCTAATTGCATCCTTCTAAGAATCCTGCAAATCCATGCACGAAAAAGAAAAGGAGGTATTTCTCCGCACAATGCGTCGTTACCTTAGAAATTGTTCCCGAGTGTTGTGATAGCCGGACCATAACATCTTATTCCTCGCTCTTAAATTAAGCACATTCACGGAACATAGCCGATCAATGGCTTATTAGCCATAATGGCGAAAATGGTGATACAACGTCAAGCTGGCTTCTCTCCCTATCCTGCTACTGTAAATGTATGAATCCCCATCAGGAGTGAAGGGTCTACGAACGCAAGAATCTCCCACCGGGGTGGCCATGCCCAGAACCCATCGCCCGACCCCAAAAGCCTTCAGTGAGAAACCCCTGTAGGGATACAGCCTAAATATTCAGACTGTGACGGAATATTTTGTAAAACGGCTCATGCCCAACTCTTTGGGTGGTGCTTCGGAGCTACATAAAAAGGATCTTGACTTTCACGACCCAAAGGGGTGGCTCGAGAACTCACTTTGTTGGCCTTCTGGGTCCGCATGGGGGTCTCCTGCTCTTTGCTCTTCGTGTCGGCTTCCCTCTGCCAGCGGTCCTCGTCAAATCTGGAAGACTTCCCTCTGTCTCCCGAGGCCGCCGTGCTGCCTTCATGTTGCTGCCTCACCGGCAACCCTTCGGAAGTCACTGTTCGTCTAGCTGTCTCCGTTGCTTCCGTTTCTGACGGTTCCACGTCAACGCCGATCAGCGGTGCTGGCTTGGCGTCAAGCGCGTCCTTTTCCGTTGAAGCGGGCTGGGACATGGCTCCAGGCTGGGGGGATTTGCGTACTTGGGCCGGCTTTCTGGATTCCGGCCTCTGCTGAATAACGAGTCGCTCAAGACCTTTCTCATCTTTATCCCCATGGTCGTCGCTTGAACCGCCTCGCTCGGGCGGGCTCAGATGATCTAACGGTATATTTGCAATTTCTATTTCTGCTCGTCTGCTTTTACCCGGAGGGTGAAAAGAAAAGAAAAGAAGAACAGCATTTGTAAGAAAACAAGATTACAGTCGGCTAAAGTCTGCACAAGCGCAGGAAAATAGAAGCAATTATTTGGTTTATTTTAATAATCACAAATTTTCTTAAATGAAAACCTCAGACCTCCTTTTTACCATAAAATGGAGGTTCCCGCTTGTGCCTTCTGAGAATATTTGGCTGGGAAGATTACAGGGTCCCTTCGAGCCTGCCCACCCACCCAAAAAAGAGAACTGGGTATCTGTTCCCTTCTAGTTTTGATGCTTTCTAAATTTTGAGCCTTTACAGTTCTGGCGCTTCTGGCAGCCGGCGCTGGGGGGTGAGAACTGGGCCCGCCTCTGCCGCGCAAGGGACCTGGCATTGGCGATACTGAACCTGATCAACCTAATGGCATGAAACCGTAGAAGGCAAACACAGAAGTTTGCGCCTGTTTGTAAAGGAGGCTATTGGGTCTGATGCCAGGGGAGGTGGGGCACCGACTGTGGGTTTTAGCCTAAACTTCAAGTGGCTACTTCAAAGGGCTGAACACCAAAATGTGGTCCAGCAACTCGGAGAAGCTCCCATAAAATTCAGATAAAAACCCGGAGCGGGTTCATCGCCCTACCATCGCGGAAGCCACACTTTCCAGCGTCAGGTGTCCATTGTAGGTGTGCATAATCCACAATCACCAGAAATTCAACCTCTGTGCTCAGGTCTAATTAGTAGCCACTAGACGTAATGGAAACGGGGCACTGCCCTCTCTCCAAGCCACCCTCTATCCAGGGTGGGAATATTTCGCCAAACGCTTTCCTAATCCCTTGCACAAAGCTGGCAAAGCCCACGTTCAGGAAGCAGCTGCCTGCTCCTCAGTTGTTGCCTCTGAATCGCAGGAATATTTGCTACCTTGGGTTGGGACAAGGAGGAGAACAGGGAACCCTAGCAACAAATAACCAGACGCTGTTTTCCTTTTCCCTCCCCATCTGCTTCTCCTTCTGTGACGTGTCTTTCTGAACCACAAGTATCAGAACACTAACAGTCTTGCTTTATTCTGAGTACTGATCTCTAAGACAGACAGATAGATAGACTGATTGATTGATTGATTGACTGACCGATCGATCAATCAATCAATCAATCAATCATTGGTTGGCTGGGCGAGTAGGCTGGCAGGCTGACGGAGGGAGGGAGTGGTTGTTCTCTCCGCTTACAGCTTAAGCCTCTTCAGGAAGACTTTCCTTGCTACACATAATACATCTGAGAAGCAAGAATACCACGGCAGCCAACTTTTTAAGAACGGCCAGCAGTGCCGCTAATGGCTCCAGGACCACTGTCTGCAGAAATCCATTTAGCCATCCGACAGAAACTAAATAAAGGATACTCCACCCTCCAAAACAAATCCCGCTTCTTAATTTCGTGCGCTGTCAATAAAGAAATGTTTGGTGCCATTTGAATTACAATCAGCTGCTGAGAACAGAGGCATTTAGGAGGCTGGCATTTGAAAAGGAGAATGCTAAGTGTGTTTTAATGCCTCCACGCTGGCGTCTAATGCCATTCGCGGGAATTAAGCTACCCCGCTACTACTGTCTTGGCACCCATCAAGCTGGAGAATTTACAGCAAGGCGTTAAGGAAGTACTGTGTGTTTAAAAAAACATAGGGAGAGTGGGAGAGAAACAGTTGTTAGCAAACTTTGAAGCAAAGCACAGAAAGGGAACCCAACGGCTGAAATCCTATTGCGTGGTTACGCAAACAACTTAACTTTTAGCAGTAAACTTCGGCAAGTTAAGAAATCTCCATAGACACTACCTATCGCAGGCCGAGCTGAACACATCAGTAGGCAACAGATCAGGCGTACCCAGGTTTCTTAACTTACAGCAATTTCTGTCTAAATGTTAAGTCTCACAACAGGATTTCAGGCAATGTTAGGGATTCTGATTCAAAGATGTTGCTCCTCTGCCACTTGACTTTTCTTGGTGAGCAACTTTCATAGTTAGTGGCCTGAAGATGGATGAAAAGCAACTAGGTGCATTCAGAAATATCTCAGACATCCTAGGGGCACTGCAGGTGAGCAGTTATTTACCCCCACATTTTCAAAATGCAAATCCTTCAATGCAAAATGCAAATCCTTCTCGGTTCACGAGAAACCACGTCAGAACAGCCGCAGCGGGGCTTAAGGAGATCCGGGATCAAGACCTACTTTAACCATGGACCTGACTGTATGATGCTTGGGGATGTCACAACTGTTGGACTACCACTCCCAGAAACACTGGCCTGCACCAGCTCATGGCGAAGGCTTCCGGGAGCTTTAGACCAAGACCATCTGGGGAACCAAAGTTGGGGAAACCACTTCTTTAGAGAAAAGAGGGAGACCAAAGAGCCTTTGAGTCACCAGATCAGGGGCTCCCAATTTTGGGTAAGATAATCCAGGCGATCTGGGCCAAAAAAACCCCAGGGCAGCACAGCTGGTGGCGAAGACTTCTGGGAATTGCAGTCCAAGAACACCTGGGTCACCCAAAGTTGGGAATCACCGCCTTAGGAGAAAGATAAGATATAAATGCCATTTAAACACAATGCGAAGGAAGGAAGAAACGCTTCTGCAGCATCCTTCCTGCAGAGATAGATGCCCAGGCCTGACTGACAAGCCGGGGGTCCTGCCCAGCTGGAGGAGGCTTAAGGGGCCCCCTCTGTTTTCCAAGTCTTCCCTCCCTTACCAGTAAAAGTAAGCCCAAAGGTTATCCCATCGTGACAACGGCAGAGGCTAAAATATATGAGATTTCCTTCTGGACCATCCTGACTTCCCGTCTTTGCAACTCATGGCTTTGGTCACTCCCGTCCACTTGTGCAACCTTTGATTTCCATGGAGAGTTGGGTTTTGGTGGTGGTGGAGAATGTCCTTTGGCTGTTTTATTTCACATGATAGGCTCTGCTTCTCCGTGGCGAAGACTTCTGGGAATTGCAGTCCAACGCACCTTTTCCCCACAAAACAGGGGGGTGGAAAGTCTGTGTGTCTTATGGAGCGAAGAAAACAGATTATATTTTCCTGTTTTCTTCTCCTAAAAAATTGGTGCATCTTATGGAAAGGTGCGTCTTATGGAGCGAAAAATACGGTACTTAATTGCAGGGTGTCCCCACTTCCAAAGGAAGCCGGCCAATCTCCCAGGTAAATTAAGCAGAGGCCCATTATCTAAATTCACTTTAAATCAAACTGCACTCCTTCTCCCTTCCCCCCCCCCCGGCCCAAGAGAAACGCCATCAAAGGTGCCATTCCTAAGCCGGCTGCTTACTGCGATCCGTGTAGCGCTGGGCTGGTTTCATTTAAGAGAACACTCCTCTCCTGAGCGCCACATTTTTCACCCGCCACGCTCGCGCTGCAGATTTTGCCGACAGCCGACTCATGTTCCGGCTCGGGCTTATTTAGATTCCTGTGCTGTCGATCCGAACAGTCAGAAGGAATTACCTGCAGGGGAGAAAAAAACATGTTATCTTCAGAAAAACCATCCCAAAGACCGGCATACCGAAGTTCTCTCTGGCTTCGTGGGTTATAATCTTTTACATAGTAAGACTTTTATCATCTTGGAGGAACTTAATTTACATTATAAAGCCAGCCTCTCTTGCTGTCTCTTGGAAGCAATTCGTGACTACAGAGACTAATGAACACCTGTTTGATCTGCTTTTTGGACCCCGAAAATAGGTTACAAAAAAAAAGCCACCAGCTTGTGCAGGGAATCGGAAGCACAACTTCCTTGAAGGCGTCTCCGTAAGAGGCCTCTTCCAAGAACGTCAAAAGCCTCAATGCTCCCTTAGCAGAGCTGTCACTTAATTAAACAAATCTCACATCGATTAATCTTCTGTGATTTAGTTCATTAAGCGACTGAGTAAATTGACATCAATTAGCATATGAAAAATCGACCGGCATTCTAAAGTTTTTTCTTCTTCTTTTTTGTGAGTTTTCTGGTTCTAGATGGGTGGCCGCAAATTTACATATGCATTTATTTCTTTAAAACATTGATATGCTGCCCTATGTTCCAGGATCTCGGGGCAGAGTTGCAAGAACACCACAGTATAAAACAATGCAATGATTTAGAAACATGTTTACGATTGTTTAAAAGCATTCTAAATAAGCTACAGAAAACATTAAAACTAGCAATAACAAAGAACCCTCCACAGTCTACTAAAATTGTGATCCTTCACCCCCGGGCCTTGGTGAATAACTATGTTTTAACCTGGTACCAATTGAGATTAGTTTCTGCAACAGTTAAGCCTCTAAGGGAAAGGCGTTCCATAAATCAGGTGCGAAAGCCAAGAAAGCTCTCCTCAGGGTCTCTGCGAAGTGGACTGGTCTCCATGGTGGAGCACGCAAGAGCCATCTCAGCATCTCCTCATGACCATGTACTTAAGGAAAAGTAACCATCTTAGATAAGAAATAGCTGGTCTCGTCTTAGAAAAGGTTGGCCAGAGCAGGTGTCACCTTAGAAGACACCAATCTACGAGCAAGGGGCTTCAAACAGTTGGAATCACAAGGTATCTAAAATAGCTTAGAAAAGGTTGGCCAGAGCAGGTGTCAGAAGACACCAATCTACGAGCAAAGGGCTTCAAACAGTTGGAATCGCAAGGTATCTAGAATAGAAATACAGTCGTGCCCCGCTTAACAATTGCCTTGCTTAATGAGGAAATCGCTTTACGATGAGGGTTTTGCGATTGCAAAATGGTTTAAATGGGGGAATTTCGCTTAGCGATGATCGGTTCCCTGCTTCGGGAACCGATTTTCGCTTTACGATGATCAGCAAACAGGTGATCAAACAAAATGGCCCACCGCTGTTTTCTAGGAAGGATAACTCGCTTTACAGGGACCAAAAATGGCCTCTGTATGGAGGATCATCGCTGCATGAGCAGGTATTCAACCCACTGGAATGCATTAACCAGGTTTTAATGCATTTCAATGGGCTTTTTAAATTTCAATTGACTATGTTTTCGCTCTACAGCGATTTTGCTGGAACAAATTAAAATCGTCAAGCGAGGCACCACTGTGGTGGTGGTTAAAGATGGGATTTTCAGATTTTTCTAGACAACCAATGCCATAATTCTCCATTCTGGGAGTTCTATCTACTTTGAAGGCACCTTACAAACTCCTCAGTGTGGCTCACCTGGTAGCAAGGCCTGGACTGGAAGACACTGAGGCTGAGCTAGGCCGAGCTCTGCCTAGCTTCCTGTTCAAAAAGAAAGCTCCCAGCTAGCACTGGGGCAGGAACTGGAAGGTTGGGTGGAGCTTGGCCAAGCTCAGCCTCAAAGCTTTCTAATTTAGGCTTCTCTCCCAACTGCATCAAACCCACTGGGGTGTTTACAAGGCAGGATAGAATTGCAAAAATGGAGAACTGTGGCAATTTGTAGTCCAGAAAATCAAAAAATCCCATCTCTAGTCATGGATAAGAGAAGAAAAACATCTCTTCCTGCACGACCAAGAAGACCGCAGTGTGAGAAGAGCAATTCAGATCAGAAATAGAGAGCTGGCTGCAAAAGAGAGGGCTCCACCCAAACCAAATCAAAAGAGCTAAGGAAGCAAAACCAAGCCATTAATAATCAAAAGAGCTAAGGAAGCAAAACCAAGACATAAATTCCCCCACAGAGAGAGAGAGAGATGGAAATCAACACTAGAGAGAGGGAGAGGGAGAGGGAGATGGAAATCAACATTGCAGATATTGACAACAATCGCACCTCGCCGACGGTCTCGGGACACGGGTAACTCAGCATGTTTGACTCTTCGTCGAAAGCTTCCGTCAGAGTTTTGTCAACTTCCGTGCTTTCCAGAAACTACACAAAAGTATGGAATGAGGTGAAAAATAGGGTGTTTGCAAAACAAAACCAGGTGATATGAAACATGTACAAATAAGTTGTGTCTTTAAAAAAAAACAAAGAAAGGAAAATCTTTAAAAAAAAAACACGCCTGCAACAGAATAACAAACATGGGGTTAGCTGATGTTCACAGATCCAAGAAAAAGACTAATATATATATTTTTTAAAAGGATGTGATTGCGATTCAGAGATGCCGGCGTTATTTTCTCAGCAACGCAGAACGCTGGCATTGACTTGGATTCAGTGGAGCTATTCCTGCCCCAGCCCCACAAAGGAATAGAAAAGCCTAGGACATTGCTCAGCATAATCTCGAGAAGTCTGAATCCGTTTGGACTCTGAGGTTTCCGATAGCTAGTGGAGTCTGGTGGCAACCCGACAACCCTCTCCACAAGACCTCCGATTCTAGCTGGAAGAAACCGAGGAGGAGGAGGAGGAGGAAGAGAGAGAGAGAAGCAGCAACCTGGCCACAGCAGTCCTGGGGAAAAAGCAACGTTTCCCTGGTCTACTTCCCTGCCTCCCTTTAAGACGTTTACTCCAGACTCTTTACAAAGGCGTGGGATGGCAACGCCATGTGCATTCACCACTGGCACTGCCCGCCTGATGATGGGCTAATGTTCACGGCATCTTTTTCTTGCGACGCTCAGGTTGATTTTGAGTTGTTCTTTTATCATATCGTCGTTATTGTTCGATTTATTGTCATTTATTTTTATTTTTTTATTTTATTTATTTTATTTCTATCCCGCCTATCTGATCGTATTAGACCACTCTAGGCGGCTTACAATAAAAACAACAATGTAATTTTAAGACATTACAGCTAAAACGTAAATAAAGATAGAGAACAAAGTAAGAAAAAGATCGTCAAGGGTTTTCTGTTGGGAAGGCCTGCCTATACATCAGTGTTTTTAGTCGTTTCTTAAAAATGCCCAGCGAGGGAGCCGCGCGAATCTCAGGGGGCAAGTTGTTCCAAAGGCGAGGAGCCACCGCTGAGAAGGCCCGATTTCTGGTCTTTTCCTTTCGGGCCTCTCTCGGCGTTAGGCTCCTCAGCCTTACCTCCTGGCTCGCGCGAGTGACACGGGTTTGGTTCTATTGACTATCAGCCAACTAGAATAGTTAGTAGTGGTATAAACATCTATGAAATCCATCAATCCGTCAGTCAGTCAACCAACCAATCACAGACAGCGGGAGGAGGTGAGAAGAGCCATTCCATGTCCAGCCAGGTACAGTGGCGCCTCGCTAGACATGACAGGTTTTTTGCTAGACATTGACTTTTTGCGATCGCTGGACAATGTTTGGTCCCTGCTTCGCAAACCGATTTTCGCTAGACAACAATTTTGACAGCTCCCTTTGCACTCACAAAATGGGTGTTGTTGGGATCTAAGCTTCACAAGACAGCTATTTAAACAGCTGATCAGCAGTTCGTAAAGCAGCTTTCCTACGGCCGATCTTCGCAAGACAACAACGATTCTTCCCCATTGGAACGCATTAAACAGGTTTCAATGCATTCTAATGGGGAAATGCTTTTCGCTAGACAATGATTCCGCTAAACAGCGATTTCAGTGGAATGGATTATCATCGTCTAGCGAGGCACCACTGTACTGTAAGTGGGGACGGGAAGAGAGGATGAGCCAGATCAAGTACAGCTGAGAGGGTAGCAGGGATGAAATTAAAAACCACACAACGATCCAAGAGATATTAAAGCTCCCCTAGAAAGTCAAATCCTGTTGACATCTCTAGATGTTCTCAAACACTGTCACTCTGACCTACTGCCCGGCTCAAGGGCCCCGGAACTAAGGCTATGGCCACCATAAAATGGCTACATCAAGAGCCTGAAGGGATCCTCCCAGAGTCAACATGCTGTGTGCGATGCTGTTCATTGGTGTGCATGATGGCCAGTGGCCAATCTCGGCACATGCCAGCCCCATAGGCTGCTGGTTGCCTCCCCTCCTGTTTCTAAGCAAACAGAGTAAGTACAAGCTGTTTTCAGTGCTTGTCTAAGAGGCTTACGAATGGACTCTGCCCGCCCCTCCAGTCTCCTACAGACTCAGATTTATCATGGCACAAGTTTTTAAGGGCTAGAACCCACTTTCTCCGATGCATTGGATGCCACTGTAAATCTGCTGGTCTTTAAACTGCCAGCAGACTCTCTTTTCTGCTTCCTTCAACGTGGCATTCCTCGATATTGTGTAAAGTTTATGGTTTACAACAATCTTGCCAATCTCTGCTTAAGCTTAACTGATTCTCCTGGGACTCATCTTCCCCGGATCCTTAATGACGGGGCAATAAAAATCATATCAAGTCTTCTCCGAAAGTCTGCTGGAAGAAAGTTCGGCTGCAGACAAAGGGAAATAATATACACAATCCTCCAGGCCCGTCTATCATTTGTAGGAGACGCGTCCCTAAACGGGTGCCCTCCGGACCTTTTGAAATAAGAATGCATTGTGTTCTTGACCACAACAGGTGGGGAAGATGGGACCCGGAATCAAAAACCTTTTTAGAAGGCCTTGGAGTGGGGAAGACTGGCATGGAGCTAATTGTCGAGAACCCGGAGAGATCTTAGGATCAAACAATGCTAGGATCTTCCGTTTGGCCCATCAATTGCACCCAACATTGGTAGCGTGGGAGGGAGCGTACAGGCTTTACAATTCCTACATAACCTTGGATCAAGGACCAGCTGCACAAGGACAAGCTCTTGTGTGAGTTCAATTGCACAGCTATTAATGCAGAGGAGGGGCAGGATCTCTTGAGGACACTCAACAAGGGCTCAAGCGACAGGGAGCCAGATTTCAGCTGACGATCAGGAAAAACTTTCCAACTGTTAGAGCAACACAACAATGGAACCCATGACCTCAAGAGGTGGTAAGCGCTCCAACACTGGGGGCATTGAAGAGAAATTTAGATAAACCACCCTGGAGGCATTGAAGAGAAATTTAGACAAACCACCCGGCAGATCTCCTTTGATTTGGATTCCTTCCTTGAGCAGAGGGGGTGATTTGGATTCCTTCCTTGAGCAGGGGGGGTGGACCCAATGACCTTACAGGCCCCTTCCAACTTCATTATTCTGTGATTCTCCGATTCTACCGACCATGTGCACATTCCTCTTTCTGGATCCAAACGTGCAGCTGCATATGACTAGTCTTCTCGCCCGTGCTTGTCTTCAAACCACCTGGTCTTCAGAAAGGAAGCTGGCTGTAGTCTGAGGCTGCCCACCTTTCCAAGACAACCGGAAAGGTTTTCTCAAGGCATGCTTCTGTGGATCCTGATGGAGAACAACACCTGAACAGGTGCCACCTGATAGAGAGCCACTCTGGTGGGTAGAATCTGCATGGAGAGCAAAGCAAAGACCACAAGCGGGTGTCATTGGCTTGGCCCGCAATCACTTGAGGGTCTGCTGAGGAATTCCGAGCAGAGAGCCACTCTGGTGGGTAGAATCTGCACGGAGAGCAAAGCAAAGACCACAAGCGGGTCTGCTGAGGAATTCCGAGATGCCCATGCCTTGTACGTCGGCACAGCCAGCTTTGGGGCCAAGAACATTTATCAGAGACAGGCTGTCGACATTGCAAATGGAAGCAGGAGTCAAGAATGAGGATCGACATGCAGAAGGGGAAGACAAGAGTCACGGCCGGGAGTCAGAACCCAAAAAGAAGCCAGGAGCCAGGGGCTGTCAAGGCCATGGTGGCCGACACGAAGTCCTGGTCTGGATATGAATTTCTGGTAGTGTTTTCTGTCAGAGAGGGAGGCCAATAGTCAACCTGGATAGACTTATGATATTGCTTCATGCCTGCATCATTGGCTGACTCTGTTTTTCTTGGTATAAAAATGAACTCCAGGGACATCCTTGGTTTCTTTTAAATTTCATTCCACCCAACGATGCTCCCGCTAACAAACATTTTTATTTTATTTACACTTGCCGATGAGAAACTCCTGAATGCTGTGTCAGGTCACCAGACTTCAACAATGCAGGAGTCAAATTATCCATTCAGTCGTATCCGACCGCTGGCATTTCCAGGAGCCAGCTCTCTCCATGATTTCCGATCCTGAACAGCTCCTTTCCGTTGCTTTATATTTTGGGCCATGTCTGCTTTGGTTACAGCCAACCAACGCGTTCTCTGGCATCCTCGCCATCTTTTCCCACCAACCCTTCCAAGCGTAACATCTTTCTCCAACGATGTTGATCACATGACGTGGCCAAAATAACTAAGTCTAAGGGTTTTTCGGGCTCTTTGGCCGTGTTCTGAAGGTTGTTCTTCCGGGGACATGTCCGGTTTTATGCGCTTCAGCACTTCTTTGTTCGTTATCTTTGCAGTCCACGGAAGTCGCACGAGACTCCTCCCAACACCATAGCTCAAAAACAACGCATGGACCAAACGGCAAAGCAGTGTTTTGAAGAGAGAACTGACAGTGTCAATCAGAGGATCAGTTGGTCAAAAGATGGGAAGGGGCACCGAAGCACATTGTCACGCCCAGAAGCCCACCTAAGGACCACCGATAACTCGAGAAAGTTCATCTGTTAGCACCTGGGAGTCATAAAGTCTCTCTGAACTATGGGATTTTCTACAAACTGATCACGGCTGTCAAAAAGCAGCTCCCAGGGTTAAGTCTGCTGATAAACCCAGCTCAGACGTATCCTCAATTCACTTGCCAATAAAAAAAATGAAATAAAATGTCAGCTCGGTCTCCAATTCCTCAGCCATATCACAGCCGACACAATGATTCAGTCTACTTAGATCCATGGCATTTCAGCTTCCAGCTCGTGCTCTTTATGGGCACTCTGCACCGGAGATATTTTGAGGATATCACAGTTCTGTTGGCAGCTGCCTACGGCCAGTCACGAGAGAACGGTTCCATCTTCCTTTGGGCAGCCTCTTCCCATGGATCAGATCTTGCAAAAAGGGAGGCGAAGGGTCTCCCATTTTGGTTGCTGGCGGGAAAAGAGGGACGAAGGAGCAAGGAGGGAGCAGAAATGCCGAAGGATGGAGGACCACCGTCATCGCCAGTTGCTGTGTTCCGTGACAAAAAACGGTCGTGGGAGATGGCGAGGATGTTTGGGGAAGAAAGCAGATGCCAAGAAGAAGCAGGGAGGCTAGCTCAAGAAAGATCGAGGGGAAAACAGAGCCTTAAGGAGAAAGGGATTGTTCCAGATGAGAACAGGTGTAAATGTTATTGGGTTCACATTTTGAGAAGCATACCCCAAGCTTCTTCCTAAATGGCAGAGAAAGACCTTGAGGCTCAATGAAATCAAACCTAGGAGGAAGTGAAAAGGACAGATCCATCCATAGGAATTTGCTCTTCAATCCTTCTCTCTTCAAAACGTGTTTGTGACGCTCAATGATGGTGGTCATCTCTTTCTTTCCCGTGACAGGCTCTTCATTGTTAAAGGGAACTCCATCTCTCAAACACAGAGGAGTGGATGGAAGAGATTTGTACCTGGGATTGTCAGTAAATAAGACTGTCCTACCTGGCTGGATAGCCCAGTGGTTTAGGTCTCTGGCTGCATCACCAGAGGTTGGGGGTTCGATTCCCCCCCACGAGGCCTCCTGGGAGAAGAGCCAGCCTGGGTGGCCTTGGGCCAGCTGCACAAACTCCCAGGGTTACCTCCTGAGGAAAGGAGCGCTAGGTCACTTCTGCGTAGTCTCTACCTGGAAGATCCAGAAAAAGGGTCCCCATAAGCCAGAACAGACTTTATGGCATATGATGATGATGATTAGATGAGAAAGATGCCACATAATGTAGAAATCTGGCTTAGAAATTTGCTTTTTCTCGGATTGGCATCCCTCGCTGGGTTGCTGTGAAGGTGAAGTAGAAAATCAAGCCAGACATCCTGGCTTCCGCTCCTTAGAGGAACAATAATAGCCACGTGCTGTCAAGTCAATTCCGATTTACGGCAACCCTCTTCAAGGTTTTCCAGGCACAGAATACAGCAGGAACCCCCGTATACATGGGATCAGTATCCGCTGATTCACGTACAGCCTGAAAATATTGAAAATATTGCAAGAAAAATCATAGAAATATATATTTCTACGATGTCATTACCAGAACTGGCCACTAAATGGAGCCAGAGATCATGCTATGCATAGCGTTCACCATTCAAATAGCGTTCTGAGCAGTGGGTCCCAACCTTAGGTCAGCCAGGTGTCCTTGGACTGCAGTCCCCAGAAGCCTTCACCCCCAGCTGTGCTGGATGGGGTTTCTGGGAGTTGCAGTCCAAGAAGACCCGGGTGACCCAAGGTTGGAAACCATTGTATTAGAGCAGCTGTGGGGATAGGCTTGGAACCCATTCCCTGCAGAGATGGCCCCAAGGCCACCCAGACTGGATCTGGCCCAGTGGAGGAATCAAACACCCAGCCTCTGGATCCCCAGAGAGATCCCTAAACCCCTGAGCTATCTATCCAGCCAGCTCATTAGAGGAACGGTTGAATATGAATAAAATAATTAAATAAACACTCTGACCTTGGTCTAACGCACCATCCTATATACCGTATTTTTCTGCGTATAAGACTATACTTTTGTCTAAAATCTTTAGACCAAAAATTGAGGGTCGTCTTATACACGGAAGTAAGCTGAGGAGAGAACAAAAACAAGTGGAGGGGAAAGCAGGGATCAAAGCGATCCTGCAGCGCTTTGATCCCTTTCCCCCTGCACTTGCTAATCCCCACTTAGATTTCTTAATTTTGGATTCGAAAAGTGGAGGGTGTCTTATACATGGGGGTGTCTTATACACGGAAAAATACAGTATTTCCATCCAACTTACCTATTTCTTTGTCTAAGCGAAAATACTGCTGATCTAAAACTGAAACACGGAAATGAAAAGAAAGCCAGGCAAACACAGGCAGCTGCAGGAAAGATGCAGAGCGTCAGCTGCCACCTGATGGAGAATCTGTGACCCCAAGAGACAGGCTTTAATGTCTGACAGGCAAGTTAAAAAAAAAAAGATCATTTGCTAAAGGCCAGGCGGAGGCCCACAGAGGATAAACCTGCCTTTTGTAAATCTCCCCACAGCACCTGAAAATCTGAAGGCCGTGTTTTCTCCTCCATGAATCGCTGATGCTCTCATTTTCTGAAGTCCTCAGGAGGCCCCAGATGTAGAAGGCTATGACTTCTCTGGGTGAAAGTAGATGGTTAGCGGATGGGGCTTGTAGGGAGTGGAGATGATGTTTTCTCTCTCTTTTGAAGCCCGGAAGTGCGGTAACCTCCTCAGAGCCAACGGTGCGGCCTTACCCCTGCCAAGCCGGGGAAGCTGAAGAGAAGGTGGGCATGGAGAAGGCCCAAGGATTTTAAGGAAAAATCCGTGGAAAAACGCGCAGAGATCTAACCTTCTGAAAGTCCTCTTGTGATCTAGCCGTTGCATCAGCAGGTGTGGTTTGGGTGATTTTTCCACAACAAGCTGCCTGCACTTCCCCAAGAGTAGAAGCTGGGGTGGAAGGTGTATGCTGCAGAGGCATCTCTCATTAACAAATGGCCTACTTAATGCCTGAGAAGAGGGACGTTTAGCGACGGCGTCCCCTCAATTGAGCACGAGGCCATCAAACCTCGGCAAACACAATGTTTGCTCCCCCGGCTCTCAGCCGGCTAAAAGCAGACCCAAATCAAGCTCTTCAAACATCCCATTTTCCGGTTCCTTGAGGCAGAAGGCCAATTTCAGGACTCGAGATAGGAGCTGTCAGTCAGCGGGGTGTTTGCTTGTCTTTCATGGCCGCACGACGGGCTGCATGTGTACCAAAGATGATGGGGAGAGGGGGAGAAGGGGAAAGAAAACGGAGACCCAGAAATCGCCCGGAAAAAAAAGAGCGTAGATCTACAAAGTCAAGATTTGCAGCTGAACCAGGTAAGCGAGGAGTGGGTTGTGTACAGAGTCTCGGGCCCACAGGCACAGGCCATCGGATTCTCCTGACAAGAAGACACGTTAAGAAGAAAAACAGCTAGCCCTACGACCCTAAAGCCAGCCTACATCCCAGCTGACCGTCTTCTTGACGCTCTCAAAAAATTATAAATGGCAAGACAAAGGCTGAATAAAAACATAGACAGGATTTTCCCTTTTCAGGAGCCGGGGCGGTTTTCTTCAGCATGACATGTCCTTCTGAATCAGGGCTAGCAGGGTGCGACCCTTCAGAGGCTGATGGATCCCAGTGCCCATCATCACTCATCACGTGCCCCTCTGGTTAGGGTTGCAGGGAGGGGAAATCCCATCACCTCTGGAAGGCCAGAAGTTGCCAACTCTGTTCTACCGAGTTGATGGTTTCATCTTAAATAACACTCCCCGGTCATTTATCAAGAAAATATATGATGCTGATTGCTCATAATTTGGGGGCTCCGAGAGGATTGATGCCCCAGATCTCCTCTCCAAAAATGTCAGTTTAGACATAGCGGTGGGTCCCGCACCTTCTCCATCTTTGAGATCTCCACCCAAAAACGCCTGCAGGGTGGCCCAGCCACCTTGAAGCAGACGAGGAACCCGGCCCTCACCTCGCTGTTGTCTGACGACTTCTGACCTTCCTCGGCCAGAGGATCCGAGGTGGAGAGTTCAAGCTGCTTCCTTCGGAGGTCCTCGTTCTCCAAATGCAACTCTTTCACCACTGAGACGAGTTCTGTGATCTGAAAGGGCAAAAGAAAAAACTCAGAGGCTCTGGGAGAAATTTTTGCGAATCTGCACAACAGGGCTACGTGAAGTCCTCTGATTGACTAAAAGAAACTTGAAATCCTCCCGTTCTGATTGATTAGTAGACTCTTGAAAGAATGGGGGATGCCCACGGGCAGATATTTCTGCTATTGCTGAGGCTCCTATTATTGCACGCAAGGTTGACACAGTCAAGTAGCTGCCTTGCCACTTATTTTGCTGGGTTCCCAGCAAGCCCTGGGGCCAGCTTCCTTTTCCAACAGGAAGCTAGGCCTGGGCCCGGCCTATCCAGGGCCATCAGGCCTCTGAGGCCAGCTATGCTCCAGGTGAGCGCAATTCAGGTATCTGCCTGGCAGACGGAACTCCCAGGTTGCTGTATTCTGGGGTTTGGAGTCAAAACAGTAAAAATGCACACGGCTAGAGAGAGATCACCCACTTCCCATGCAGAAGTTCCCAAGAACAGCGTGGAGCAATGAGCTAGAGAGACCTCCCTGTCTTGGTTTTCTCCCGCCGCCTGGAATGTGGAAATGCCTTTTGCACCCATCTCTCTCTTATCGTGAAATATTTTGCTCATGCCGACATCTGGATCTCCTCCCACCATTATCCAGACCTGCCTTCCTTATGGGGCAACAGACATGCATTCAGACTCCTGCTCAGATGGAAGGCTCATGGGGTTGGCGGGACACGCTCTCATGGAAAGCACGCCTAAGCGTATGGGCTGAATTTCTAGAAAAGTAAGAACACCACCATACCTTTTTCTTCAGTTCCTCAAGAGAAAGCTGATCGATCTCTAAGACCAGGTAATCCCGTGCTCTTAAACAAATGCTCATGTAAGACGTCTGATCACCCCAAGATGAGACACTTTCCTCTAGCAAGAAGCGGAAAGAAAAACAAAGAAAGAGGGTCGCTTTGTACACTTTGTGTGGAAGAAGCTCCCGCCCTCACACACAAACATCAAGAAAAACCACATACAGTTTCTAGCCCGCACTCAATGGAACATTTTCAGTGTAATGTTATTTACAAATCTTAACTTCCTTCTTACTAAGTCTCTCCCACCTCAAGATTTTTCCCTTTTCTCCTCCTTCACACAGAAAGCTGTGGAATCGGTACCTGCGGTTTCACTTACCCGCCTGCTGAAAATATAATTTTTTTAAACCCAGAAATGTCCAAGCTGCATTAACAGAAGTAGAGGGAATCATGGACTATGTGGTCGTTCATTCGGTCCATCCGTCTGTCCCTCCCTCCATCCCTCTTCCTTCCTATCTATCTGCCTATCAGCTCCTTCCTTCCTTCCTATCTATCTATCCATCTATCTATCCATCCGTCTGTCCGTCCATCTATCTATCTATTGCATCTGCATTGGGGGGGGGGGCTTGGAACCGATTTCCCGCAGATACCATGATACTACCGTAAAGCTGTCTTCTCATTCTGTCCGTCCGTCTATCTATCTATCGCATCTGCATTGGGGGGGGGGCTTGGAACTGACTTCCCACAGATACCATGATACTACTGTAAAGCCGTCTTCTCACTTCTACGCAACCTGATCCTTTCAACTTTAAAGCACGCACTCTCACTCTTTTTTCAGTTTCTTCTCCCGTCTTCCATTTACTGTACAAGCTTCTTTTCATCCCTGCCCGCTATCAGCACGCATCGAATGCAGAAGGCTCATTTGCATATCGAGCCTTGAATTTTGAAACCATTTCAGGCAGGATGAGGAGAAGCAAAGGGAGACATGAATTATTCCGCTGTCGTCGAGATCTGGCGAAAATCAACCAAGAGTCTCGAGGGTGAAGAAAAAGCCAGGTTAAGCAACAGCACTGAATTTTTTATTTTAGCTACCGGCACCACAGATTTCAGTAGCAGAAGAAGTAAAAAAGGGGGGAGGCTTTGGCTATATAAATGAGCTGTTTGGGGGAAGGAAACCTGTTGCGATGGACTTATTTCCAACTTCCCAGATCCCTTTCTCGAGGCAAAACAGGGAGGCAGGGAATGGATGGAAGCCGAGAATCCTTTTTACATCCGCTCCCAACGCTCAGCAGGGCATCAGGATGATGAGTGTGGGTCACCTTAGTTCCATCAGCTCCCCTTTTCCTTTGCTTTTTCCAAGGGTAAGAACCTGGGAATTGTTAGACGGCAGCATCCATCATCCTAAACCACCAGCCACGCTGGGTGGGGCAGACGGCATTTTACAACAGACACGGGCTCCCCCAAATGATCCACTCCGCAGAGTATCTCATCAGGAGGTTGAGCTGAAATGATCCAGCCACACAGTTGCCTAGCATGAGCAATGGCCCAGATCCTGAGTCAAGGAGGCCAGGATCCAGCCCAGTGAGCAGGACTGCTATAGGAAAGCTAGTCCGCTGCCCACCCGGCTCCTTCTCCGAATGGAACTGTTAATGTTCGTACATTATATTGACTTCTTCATTATTGCTTTGGGTGCTGAGTGGCCGACCAAGAGATGAAAAGGGCTCAACGTGGACAACCTGGAACGTGAGGTGATGCCACCTCCGTGACACACCGCTTCCCATCTGATTTCAGAAGCTAAGCAGAGTCAAGCCTGTTCAGAAACTGGATGGGAGACCAATACTGAGAGCCTCCAAAGACAGGGCTAGGAAACAATCCTGTATCAAACTCTAGAGAGCTGCTGTCCTCAATCAGAGTTGACCATACTAGGCTGTCTGGACCATGCTCTGAACTAGCAGAAGGCAACAGAGAAACCGAATAGATGATATAACTGGAAGCACGAGATGGAGAAGCTCTATTCTCTCAGCCAAAACAAGACCAGGAGTGGACCAGGAAACTGATGAGGAACTGTTAATAGCCAACATTACAGTAAAGCTGAAGAAGAACACTGTAAGAATCATAGTGCCAAAATATAATCTCAACAACATTTGTGATGAATTTGAAGTCCACATAAAGGACAGATTTGCACTATTAAACAAAACGGACTGTGAACCAGAAGAACTGTGGATGGAACCAGAGATTTCTTGGGCTACCTCTTCAAAAAAGCACAGGCACACAGACCTCCTCTCCCCCCACGCTCAGAATGGTTTGAAAGCTGATGTCAGTCCTGACCGAGCCTCTAAAAACAATCCTATGGGCTGGAGCTTAGCTATTCACATGCTGTTGCTTCTAATTTAGCAGGTGACATCCAGAGCATTCCTGGTGCGGACGCAAAGCACCTTTGCCATCTTACCTTCCCTTCTGTTTTCCTTGATTTGCTCTTCCAGAACTTTCCGCAAATGCCAGGTAGCCAAGATGTCCTCCTCCAGTTGCTTCCGCAATGAGATGATGCTGTTCATCTCCTCTTGCAGGTTACTTATGCTTTAAGAGAGAGAGAGAATTATATATATACACTACATATATATGTAGTAAGCTGCAACTTGTAAGGATATATAGCTCAAGGTTCATCAAACACTTGAGAGCATTTGCTGATGGACCTCTCGCATCTTTTATACATCAAGGCTTCCATAAACGAGTCTGCTCCCAAGCAGAAAAGTCCTAAACGCTCTTTAAATCACAGAACCCTCTCATCTTGGAGATATGGTGCGTAAACAAATCTTTACATAAGACAAAAATGAAAAAAAAATATAAAAGGCCTGCGGGGTTCTCTTTTGTGCATCAGCCAGAACCTCCAAGGTAATTTCAGACCAGAAACTGGAAAACATGGGGAGGGGTGGGACTACAGCTCCCACAATCCCCTAGGCAGCACAGATATAGAGAAACTGCAGGATTACAAGACGTGTCGTCAGTGACAGGGTCTTCTGAAGCCGTTTCTGAAGATGGTTCTTTCAGAACCAACTTGAATCTGTGTGCACTTTTTAAAAAAACATGTTGAGGCTGAAATAACTGGAGTACCAGCACCGTGGTGTTTGTGTCTTATAGACTCACAGAGTTGGGGAAAACCTTAAGAGATCATCTAGTCCTACAACCTAATCCATACAGGCTCTGTGATGCTTATCTTCGCAACATGATTAGCAGGGAAGATCAGGTTGAGAAAGAGGCCAGGATCTATTTTATGACCCAACAGAGACTTAAATCTACACGGCTCCAGTGCTGTAACCACTACACCACACTGCTTGACTTCTAATAGACGTTCAGGGTGCTGGACGCAAAGGACCTACGGATGGAGCCAGGTTACAAAAATCCAGACGAAAAAGTCACTGGGGATAAATGTAGGGGGGAAACTAATCAGATCAGACTTGTGTTTTATTTATAGGTATTAATTACTTTTAATTAATTGAACTTCGATTCCCATCAGTCCGGTGGCTGGCCGGGCCATGAGTGAAGCATGATGGGAGTTGTTGTTCACTGACAGATTTTATATGTCTGTGATTTTATTTGATCATATTTGTATTTTAAACAATTGTGACGGCTTTTAGCTAATATAATAAACCTGAACTTGACAACCCTGAAAGGCTGAAAATTCCTCACCAGAATCTTAAAGACATTAAGTCCCAAGTACATGCAGAGAGATGGGGGGGGGGAGTTTAAGAGTGCAATTTTTCGTTCTTAGACAGAACAGTCTAAGTAACAACCCAGATAGAAAAGTACGTAGCTCACAGCACAATTGACGGAGTAGCTTTTTTAATGCAAGCTTCCTTCACTTATTGGGGGTGGGGGGACACCTTCAAAGCAGAAAGATTATTCAATGCTATTAAAAGCTGTGCTCTCAAAACAAGCAAGCAGGAAGATAATTTTTAAAAAGTCTAAGCAAAACCACAATACGAGCTCTTCAGAACTCAATCCTTCACATGGATTGCTTTCGCCGAGAAAAGGCACGGATCCATCACCGTTTGGAGATCAGCCCTGCCCCTGGCTGCGGGCATCAAAGCCTCAGCCCGGAGAAGGCCAAAGGAGGGAAGATTTGGTGTGAAAAGTATGGATTCCAGAATTACAGGAAGTTCTCGGGGAAAGGGGGATGGGGGAGCGATGCTAAAAGCTAAATCAAAAACAGGCCGCCGGCTTTGCCTAAAACTCATTTGCTTAATGAAGGAATTGTTGGAGGTGACACCTGGAACTCCGGAAGATGGAGGATCAGAAATCTAGCGGTCAAACTCAAGGACAAATTGATCGAGGGGATGCTTGTGAAATAAGGAAAAAGAGGCCAGACACCCAGAGCCCATTTTTCTGCTCGCTCCCTCCTCCTTTTCTCCTTGGGTTTCAGAAATCAACAATGCACATGGAGCCAAACCATAACTCTGCTGGTGCTGACACTGGCCCTCTGTTATAAAACCGCAGTAGCTATGTCACCGCACAACATTTATATTTTTCTCCACAAAAGACCTGGAGATTCAGGGCAGAAGAGGCCAGCCCGCAATTACATTCTGGAGTGCTTCCAGTTCATTTCTTTATTTAATTGAGTTCTAGATTGATGGGCACAAGATTCCACTGAAACGGTGGAGCGGCCGGCTGGCGGACCAGCTGCCCAGCAGCCTTTTCCCGGTCAGGCTCAAAGACGGAATGGGACGCTCACCCATCCGCCTCCTTCAGGGACTCGATGAGAGCCGAAAAAACATCACGCTCTTTCCGGAGGGCTTCCAGCATGTCGGCGTATTGAGATTCCTTCGATCTCTGGATCGGAAACAAAACACACCTTGATCATCATTAGGGAACACGGCAGGAGAGAATGTTTTTGTCTCCAATTGGCAGGGCCAAGCTACCCCGGCCAGTGGGCTCAATCGGTGGGCGCCGCAGACCGAAACACTCACAGAGGATGCGAGGTTTCCTTCCCTAGATCCAAGCAAGCTCTCGGAGGCTATCTCCGTGGATTCCTCCCACCGAGAGGCTGCTCAAAGTGACCCAGCGGTGCAGCTGAAGGAAGATGATGGATCTTGGCTGACAAAGATATTCAGTTTTAAGGCTCGCTGGTTTTTTTGGATGATTAATAGGGTGCTTTAAAATGAGGAATCGCACACTGCCACCAGTTATTGGGGAAAAGCAGATAAACAGGAGTCACTGATCTGATCCACCAAGGTCTTATTTACCCGGGAATTGCTGGGGAAAAATCCCGGGGGGGGGCGTGGGCTCCCCCACTAAGGCAGCTCCCCCAACAGACCAACCCAACAGGACTCCTTGACATTTTACATTGACTCTAGCCAAGTCAATTCTCCGACAACAGTCGCCTACACATGGATGCTCCCTTGCCTGATCTTCCCCCATCTAAAGCACAAAGGACGAGGACCACCCTCCCTCCTGCAACGGGGGCCTTCTCAGTGGTGGCACTTTGGCTTCCAAGAGCACAGCGAGAGTCAAGAGGTGTTGGGGCGCACCTTTGCCAAGGAAACAGTGGTGAAGGAGACAGAGTACTCGCTGGGGCTCCAACACACCGTCCACTGTGGCCGTCCTCATTACAGAGAAGATCCTCAAGACCCTGGAACCCCAGGGACAGGAATTCTTCGCAACACCAACGGTTTGGTGATCTCCCAGCTTCCGGGCGACCTTTCTCCCTTGTACTACAACCGTAAAACGCTCTTCCCGAGACTCAGTACTAGCAATGAGAACCTAAAGCTATAAGAACCCGGCATTTGGGGCTCGGACGCCTAGGGAACGTGGCCCCCGAGAACTTCCCCGTGATCAAAGGTGGCCATCCAGACCAAAGAGGTCCAACCCATCCTCTACTTAGGGGCAATCTTGGCTTGAAGACACAGCCTTGCTGGGCGAAACCAAAACCTGACCAGGACATTCTCGGCCCCATTCCCCTTGCAAGAGGGGGACTCTCCTCCCCAGCAACTAGAGACATTTGGAGGTCTGAGCCTCCATTCTGAAAAGCCTTAGGCCTTTAAGATGAATTGCTAAAGGCTTGTAAAAAGCCACCTCTTGGTGGCCCAGCCAGGCTTCCGCGCAGGAGCTCTCAGGTTCAACTTCTGGAAACAATTCTTCAGAGAATGGCCGAGAGTAAAGAAAGATCAGAGGTGAGGACCATGGGCCGTCTAGATGTTTTGGACTCCAAAGACCAGAATCCCTTGCCGTGGGATGGGGGTTGATGAGAGAGGATGTCCAAAACATCGAGAGAGCTCTAGGCTTCCCAACCCTTGAAGAAGACAAGAGTGGAAGGAACAGCCAATGAGCTGACTTAAAGCAGCATGTCGGTTGGTCAAACTCGGATTGCACTGAGACCACGTTTTGGCGAGGCCACCAAGGCACCGAGCCGTGGGAAAGCTGGCCCAGGTTGCACCTGATCACAACCAACTTTGGAGGCGAAGCAGGGAGACCACTAAGGAAAACCACGGGCCTGGGGAGACCTACTTAAGAATCCCACCTGCAACCCTGGAGGGCCATCCCTGGACAGTCAAGTCAGTCAACCCAAGAATCAAGAGTCATCCGTACTGGGTAGGGCAGAGCACAGATCTGGCTCACCCCAAGGGAGTTTCTAATGCTCCCGCCAAGGGTGTATGAACACGCCGTTGTGGGCCATTAAGGGATGATGATGGAGGCACTTTGCGGAGAGTGTGCTGTGATTAGCCCTTTGTCTCCACTGTGTAGGAACGGGCACAGGAGATAATGGCTCCTGATTATTGAACTCCAGTAGGGCCCTGCCGTGAAAGGCTTCATTTGCCACAACGCTCAGCTCAGCTCATTGACGTCAGCTTTGTCCCCAGTCCAGAGACCAGAAGAGGCCTCTTCATTTTTCAAAACGAGCCTCGTTCTACTTAGTGTAGATTTCTTCTCCTGGATCAAACAGGTTAGCAAGTCACTGAATGCAAGACCATCTCAGGTTTGCAAAGGGGGGAAGCCCCTCTGTCTGGCAGGGAAGGCAAGAGCCCACAAAGTGTCTTCTCTTCGGTGGTTCAACTGTTTATTTACAGTTGCGTGACCTTCCTTCCCTGCAATGAGCTTATGCAGAGTTCTCCTCCTGCCCTTTTAGCTCACAATGATCCTATAAAGTAGGCAAGACAGAAAGAGTGTGACTGTCCCAAGATCAGCCTGTGAGTTCCACAGCTTAGTTTGGGCTAGTACCTAACCTTTATCCATGATTCCCAACCTCGGGTCCCCAGATGTTCTTGGACTACAGCTCCCAGAAGCCTCCACCACTAGCTGTGCTGGCCAGGATTTCTGGGAGTTGCAGTCTAAGGACATCTGGGGACCTGAGGTGGGGAACCACTGCTCTAAGCACTCATTCATTGCCTTCCAACATTTCTCGCCTCACAACCTTCTAAAATAGTTCAGACCAAAAGACAAGAACTATCCCGGCTGTTGGAAGCTTTGAATGAGAACAAGTGGTTCCCGAACTTACCGTATTTTTCTGTGTATAAGACTATACTTTTGTCTAAAATCTTTAGACTAAAAATTGAGGGTCGTCTTATACACAGAAGTAAGCTGAGGAGAGAACAGAAACAAGTGGAGGGGAAAGCAGGCATCAAAGCGATCCTGCAGTGCTTTGATCCCTTTCCCCCTGCACTTGCTAATCCCCACTTAGATTTCTTAATTTGGGATTAGAAAAGTGGAGGGTGTCTTATACATGGGGGCGTCTTATACACAGAAAAATACAGTAGATCCCTAACTTGTGTTACATGACAGGTGCCAAACATCATCAACAGTGACCATGCTGGCAAGGACTTCGAAGACTTGAGTCTAAAAACATCTGGAGACGTGACTTTGGGACCTCCTGATTTAGAAGGATGAAAGAATCAGCTCGAGCCGAAATATCTTCTTGTCTGTGGTCCATGAGAGAAGCTGCTCTAAACTGAAGCAGGCAGACACCCAGCTAGGGGCATGTCTAGCATGTAACATAGATTTATCTTCCAAATGTTCCTCCCCATCAGACTTTGCTTCTATTTCAAAGGACCAAACAATGGGGGAAAGTGTCATGACTTGCCTCCATCTCAGGGGACATCGGCCGCTGGTCTGAAGGAGTGCTTTTCTCCTTGATCAAGTCTTCGTTCTCCTTCCGAAGAAGCTCTTGATCTTTTAAAAGACTCTGAAACTTGGCACACCATCCTTGAAGTTCTGTGTCCTTTTCTTTGACCACTCCGTCCAGTTTCTAAACAGGCAAGCAAAAAGGACAGCTGAGATCTGCACATAGGCTTGTTGCAGAGCACAAGCAGAGAAATGTCATTTCAGCGGAGACAGGAAGGACCGCCTGCGTACCACAATCCCATCTCTGAGTGTAGAACGCTAGCAGAGGACCATTACGTTCTGCTCTAAGCGTGGATTTCCGAAAAGAAAATAAAAGAGGGCAAAAGAGGGACAATTCCTCAGCCCAGTTTTCATTAGGCAGGCCAAAGTGGAGGAAGAAAACCCCTTGAGAGGAGCACCTGCCAAACAACAACAACAACAATAATAATACAGTGGTGCCTCACAAGACGAAAATAATTCGTTCCGCGAGTCCCTTCGTATCACGAAAACAATCGTCTTGTGAAGTGCGGTTTCCTATAGGAATGCATTGAAATTGCCTTCAATGCATTCCTATGAAACACCTTGCAAGACGAATGCCATTTTTTCGTCTTGCGAGCATCACTGCAAGACAAAAAAAATTATCTTGCGAAGCATGGCCAGAGGAAAAACCATCTTGTGAAGCACCTAGGACATCGCAAAACGCTTTCGTTTTGCGAGTTTTTCGTGGCACGAGGCGTTCGTCTTGCAAGGTACCAATGTAATAATAAAGAAATCCTGGATTCCAGGACGAGAACTTACAAAATGGGCCCTGAAAAATCATCAGGATTCACAGGCCGTCACAGAAAATCTGAGGTGTAAAGCCTAGCTCTCTCTCTCTCATGAGTAACACCCCTCGTACAATAGCTAGCCCTTCGCATTAGCTACCATGTTTCCCCAAAAACAAGACAGGGTCTTCTATTAATTTTTGCTCCAAAAAAACGCATTAAGGCTTATTTTCAGGGGATGTTTTATTTTTTTCATGTACAACCATCTACGCTGATCTGGTTGCTGCACAAGAGTGGAGGACGGGGTTTCACTTCACTGGGGCTTATTTTGGGGGTAGTGCTTACATGACGAGCATCCTGAAAAATCCTACTAGGGCTTATTTTTAAGGCTAGGTGTCTTATTTTGGGGGACAACAGGGTACCTGAAGCAACTCATCTTTCTGAGCCACGCTGTCCATGAGCCGTGCAATGATCGCCTCTTGACTCTGCAATTTCTGATTGCCTTCGCTCAAGAGGACGCTGTAATGACGCTCCATGGCCTTTCCCTTCTCCACCATTTCGTCGTGCATTTTCTCAAGCTGGTTCCGAAGGTCCTGGCCGGGGAGGAGCAGGGAGAGGGAAAGAGTGGAGGAGAGAAATGTGAAGCTAGACCAAAAACCCTTAACAACCATTTACGTTAAAGACAATGTTGTAAAAATCCTTTCAAGTCACAGTTTATTTTACGGTTGACTTTTCCCTGTTTTATATTCTCGCAAGTTCCGAAGAAAGCTTTCAAGCCCTTGTCTTTCGGAAACCAAAATAAACATCCCAGAATCATTTACTTGGAGTAAGCACAAGTGAAATCAGTGGGACCGCCTTGTGAGAGGATGTGTTTAAAATGATTGAATATGTGTTACACTTATACTCCTTCGAGAAGCTCAAGGTGGCGTACAGAGCCCTCCCCTTCACTTGATCTTCATAAGAACCCTGCGAGGTAGACCAGACTGGTGGGGAAAGGACCCCAGGTCACCCGGTGAGCAGGGATAAGAACATGAGCCCCAGACCAACCAGTGCATCCTATTACCTCTGATAAACTCTTTATTTCTTCCATACGAATTCTCACTCATTCTCCATGTCTCACTTTTTACCCACAACACTGAACGAAACAGCAGAGGGACCAAACCCTGTCAATGGAGAACCAAACTTCCTCTGATACGTGTGAGATCGGGAAGCATCTCCCATGGAAATCAATCGGCCCGGGCTTAAAGGATGAGCAACACAGCGAAATGAGGGGCCCCGGAATAAGAAACCTTACAATCCCAGTTATACAACTCGGGTTGTTGGAAGCGCTAACTGGACACGGTTCCCCAACTCCCTCCTCTTCAACCTCGGCTGAAAAATTATTTTCTCTCCCTGATCCAAGGTCCTGCGGAACGAGCCGAATCATCCATCATGAAGCACTTAAGAGGAAGTCAATTGGTTTTCCCCACGTTGAGGGAGAGAAGGCTACGATTCTCGCCGACCCAGTGCAGAGGCACTTTTTGGCCCCACTCTCCCAGTCCCCATCTCCAGAGACAATCCACCTCGGCAATTAATAACTACTAGATTGGGTAAATGAATGGGAAAAGTTGCACTCCACGAATGCCCTCTGAAGGTCACAGAGACAGCCCGACCCTTGGTCAAATCAAAACTGGAGGGGGGGGGAGATGGGAGTATTAATAATCAAAATTAAACACACACCCCTTTTAACTGAAGGAGAAGGCCCGGCAAGGAGAACCCCAATGGGTTAGCCATCCAACCCAATGACGTACGGCCAGGTCTTACCGCTCAAGGACGACAGCTGCTTTATTAAATCGGCTGTATTTGGGTCAACGGAAAAGAGCCAGTGAAGGAACCGTCAACCTGGAAGCTGGGGGGAAAAACACCTGGATGGAGGGGATTTGTCTAAGAAAATCTAAAGCCCTATTCCCTGGACGGAGAGGGTCCTCTCGTGTTTTCTGCTCTGTCCTTTTAAAAAAAAAACCCTCACTCAAAGTTGCTTTGTCTTGGTGGGAGTATTACACCACGTGCAGGAAATCCAGTCCAAGCTTGAAATGTTTAGCACTTGGTAGGTAGGGGGGGAAAATGAAATTAAAGGAAAGCAAATCTTCAAATCTTGGCAGCGCTTTGGGGAGGTCCTGGGGGAGTGTCAGATTTCCAACACATCGCTGGGAACTGACAGGACAGGGACCGTCATCGTTGGGATTAGTTGTCTGATCGTTCTTTTAGAGAAAGTCAAAGAAGGAGAAAAGGGAATGGAGAAAAATGAAAACGGCCGGGAGCCAGATAGCCATATTCTTAGAGTAGATCCACTGAAGTCAACAGGATTAAACCAAATGGAATTAAATGGTCTACTCCAAACACATCTACCTATTCCCCACTATTTACATTATCACTGTCTGATGGTTTAACCGTCCCATCCCGCCCTACCCCCATCCCAAATTTCCTGCAATTCTAATTTAAGGGAGGGACAAAGCATTTTTGGGGGAGGCTCTCTCCCTGACGCTGCCCATACTTGGAAATCCTGAGCCTCCTTCCAAAGGAACAGCCATCAGAGTGCAGATCTGAGCAAGGTTGAGACAGATAACAAAAAATGTCTTAAGGTTTTTAAAGATCAACTGGTTAACCAGCTTATTAATGATATGTCTTCCCTGAAGTTTGCCTATATAAATGATCCTTATGCAAAGGGAAATGATATCATCATGATCATCGTAATCTCAGAACTGCATTGCTGGAAGGGACCCCAATGGATCATGGACTCCAGCCCCTCAAGGAGGCCTAGTGGGGGAATCAAACTCCCAACCTCTGGCTCCACAGCCAGAGACCTCGGCCCCTGAGCGATCCAGCAATTCTGTGGCATCTGGAGCTAAACCTAACCGCTAGCCCTAAGCAGAGTAGACCCACTAGATTGATAGGGCTGGCACAAGCGTTATCAAGTGAACACAGATCTACTCTAATTGGGATCCCTGCAGTCAGCTGATGAGCCGACGGACAGACTTTAGCTGAGCAGGTGCCCTCACAAGCTTGTTATATACAGATTTTAAGACCAAGTACTGAAAAAAGAATGTGGAAACTCTTCTAGAACCCAATGAATAGGAAGAGCTGTTTCAAACCGGAAGCCTCCCTCCTTTAAGCTAATCATTTAATCAACAGAGCATCGCAGGATCGTGTCCTCTCTCAAGCAGAAATGCAGGAAGCCTCTGAAGGATAGTGGCCATGCCCTTCCGTAGATTTATACATGTAATCTCACAAAGCAATCGCCACATCAGTAAGCTTAGCTAAATCAGACAGCAAAACTTCTGGCATTTGGGCTATTTTTACATTGAACTTTAACTACCGCTGCTGCTTTGATGCTGTGAAAATAAGCAACCAAAGATCCATAGGATTGAATCACACATTCCCCGTTCTACGGCACCCCGCCACCCTCCACGACAGAACCCCATTCTAAGAGGCTGCTCCAGCTGGGTTGACTGGCCCTCATACGTGTCCCCTTCTAAATCAGCTAGAGACAGGACATGCCAGTGACGAACCTACAGAGAGGCTGGTACTTCAGAAAGTATTCCAGGACGAGCCAAAGATTTTATTTTAAGGGGCTTTCCATCTTACCAAACAGTGACGATGTGATTGTTCGGGATTCTCTAGAGCTGTGGCTTACAGAACCCCATTCTAAGAGGCTGCTCCAGCTGGGTTGACTGGCCCTCATACGTGTCCCCTTCTAAATCAGCTAGAGACAGGACATGCCAGTGACGAACCTACAGAGAGGCTGGTACTTCAGAAAGTATTCCAGGACGAGCCAAAGATTTTATTTTAAGGGGCTTTCCATCTTACCAAACAGTGACAATGTGATTTTTCAGGATTCTCTAGAGCCGTGGCTTCTGGCCTTGGGTCCCCAGGTGTTTTAGGACTACAACTCCCAGAAGCCTCCGCCGCTCGCTGTGCTGGCCAGGATTTCTGGAAATGGTCATCCAAGGATACCTGGGGATGTTCCGAAGGTTGGGAATCCCTGCTCTAGAGCAAGGTGAGCTACATAAAGGGGTGACGAAGCAGATGTTCAAACTTAACATTAACCTTATTCACTCAGTTATGTTTCTGGTAAGCTTAATGCTACCGGGTGCCTGGGGAACCTCCGCCGCTCGCTGTGCTGGCCAGGATTTCTGGAAATGGTCATCCAAGGATACCTGGGGATGTTCCGAAGGTTGGGAATCCCTGCTCTAGAGCAAGGTGAGCTACATAAAGGGGTGACGAAGCAGATGTTCAAACTTAACATTAACCTTATTCACTCAGTTATGTTTCTGTTAAGCTTAATGTTGGGATCAGCCACCGGGTGCCTGGGGAATGCTGTTAAAGCTATACAGCTCCTGCGTCCCAGCCCGCTCATATTCTTCAGGGAGGATAACCGCTGTCATCCTAAACCTCTGGAGAATGACCGATCAGCTACTCCCTGTAGGTCAGCTGCTTCTGCTTGCGGGAGGGACTCTGTAGATCAGGCCAGGTGCCCAAATAGGGGGATTTGGGGCCTTGAAGTCTGGACAGTAACCTTTACACACCTAGTTCTGGCTCAGGGCAAGGAAAGGAGACACACAGCCCTCTGTTTGGGACTACAATGCCTATGATCCCTCGCCACCATCTCTGATGGTGTGGCCGATGGGTGTTGTCGTCCAGCAACACAGAGAGGGCCGAGCCGTCCCCGTCCCGACCTTAGCATTTGGCATATCTGCTGCTAAGTCTTTACTTTTTCCAACCGGCGCGAAAGGCAGGACCGGAAGCGCCGAGTCCACGCAAATGCAGATTTTTAAATTCACAAGCAAAAGGCAAAGGACAGAAACTGCAATCAAGGATGGACATGGGTCTCGGGAGCCGGGCACCCCCTAGGTGTGGCCGATGGGTGTTGTCGTCCAGCAACACAGAGAGGGCCGAGCCGTCCCCGTCCTGACCTTAGCTGCTAAGTCTTTACTTTTTCCAACCGGTGCGAAAGGCAGGACCAGAAACGCCAAGTCCACACAAATGCAGATTTCTAAATTCACAAGCAAAAGGCAAAGAACAGAAACTGCAATCAAGGATGGGCATGTGTCTCGGGAGCCGGGCAGCCCCTGCTCCACTGAAAACCACCCTGGGTGAATGGTGGAAGCGTCTCAGAGCAACCCAGAGCCGCACAGCGATCACCAGCCGCTCATCTGTGGACGGAGACCTCCCTCTGCTGGAGGGAAACAAGAGTGCAGGAGGCCTGGCCTGTTTACACAGAAAGCAGAGCGAGGATGAGTAACTGTACCTTGAGAAAGGGGGAGAAAGAAGAGTAAGGGGAATTGAATTACTTTATGCCACACTCTCTTGTCTAAGTCTTTACGGCTCATCTAGAGATCCACATTACCATCAGGCAGCCAACGGCAGAGAGGCCAATGGGGCTTGTGCAGCCGGGCTGTTTGGGAGGCAAATTCAGGGTTGGAATTAAGATCTCCGCATGCAAAGTCGGGATTCTTGTCCTGCATCCACGACCTTCTGCATAGAAGAAGCCATCAGGCCGCCATGGGCCGCTACAGATCTGGTATCTGCCTACAAATCCCACCCAGACCAAGGCTAGCCAGGGCTGATCTGGGAGGCCACGAGTCGGCCGCCTCCAGCACCCACATCTCCTCCTGCCCAGGAGGACTAGGAAGCACAGGGACGGATACAGGACTTACATTAACGGTCTTGTCGCTTCTGCTCTTCTGGAGCTGAGCTTCCTCCAGTTCCTTCACCAGCTTCTCCCTCTCGAGATGCAGATCGCTCAGCTGTTGCTCGGTCCTCTTCATCCTCCTCTGGAGCTTACGGTTCTCCGTATCTTTGGTCAGGTTTTCGGACCGCAGGTCTGCCAGCAGGCTCTCTTTTTCCATCAAGAGGACCTGGGAATCTTCCGCCCCCTGGAGTGAGCAAGCAAACAAGCAGGCATGTGAGCAGTAGTGAAAGTCACCCAATGCAAGGCGGGTGGCAAGGATCCCAACCTTGGCTCGCAGAAGAGCCCGGCCTCAGACATACACCGATGCAAATCGTCAAGCTAACCGAAGACGCCAGGCACACACACGCTGGAGCGCCAAAGTAATCTCATTGGGAGACCATGAATGCCTTCCAGGTCAAATTACGGCAGAGGCAAGCCATAAACAGGGAAGTGATGGGGCCTTTTTAAAAATGCTGCCCTGATCAGGCATGGGAACACGGGTCAAGATCTTGCTTACAGTCCCATCCGTGTTGCCCAGAATCCCAGCTAGGAGATGCCACGTGGGCTCTCTCCGAAGACATGTGCCCACGGAAAGCACATTCTCTGGAGGCGAGGGGAAAGCACTGTACCCGTGGGACCTCCCAAGCAACAGCATTTAATGGCTTTATTTGAGGTCAAACCCCTCTTCCCACCACCCCATCAGACAACAGACCCTCTTCGGCCCAGAAGGGCTCCAAAGAGTCGCGCCACCTGGATGTCTTACCTTGTATTTTTGCAGCTGGGCTTTATGGGCCGCCTCCCGGGCTTTGGCCAAGGACGCATTGAAGCCTTCCATTTCAGATGCAAGTTCTTCATTCTGAGGACAGAAAGGGGAAAAAAACGATGGGGGTCCAGCAATCCCATAGGGGGAAATGAAACGGGGACTCCCGTCCTACAGGTCAGGGCTCGGCATGTTCAGGACCCCAGTTTTCCCCTGCCAAGACCTGCTGGGGCTGTTGTGTCCCCGATATCCTTGGGGGGCACCAGCCTTGCCCGATGTCCTTCTCAAGCAGGGTGGCCTCCGTTTGTACCCATCTCGGCACTTCTGTAGGGGAGGGGCACATCCCATTTCTAACCCTGCAGAGGGAGGGGCAGGGAGGCGAGTTGAGCCTGGGAGGTGGGACAGAGGTGGGCACCGACGGACACCCGAAAGTCCCCCCCTCCACCTTGCAATGCATCATCATCGCCAGTTTACTTAAGAAACAGGAAGGAAGGAGATGAAGGCAAAGCCAAGACGAGAAAGGGGGTACCCACAGAATTCTGATGGTCTCTTCTCTGACCCAGCTGTTTCAAGTCTGGAAATGCTATTTTCTAGCTGACGGCCACCTCCTGCTACCTTCCCACACACCCTCTGTGCTTGTCCTGACAAACTGCACACCTTCTAGCTCTAAGCAGCTCTAATAGCTAAGTGAAGCCTCCATCTCCAGGAGCAGTATACCACATATTACCAGCTACAAGAAAGAAACAGTGGGAGAAGCCTATAGCCCTCAACTCCTGATCATAGGCTTCCCATTTCACTAGCCAACATGGGGGTGGAGGGGAGGATGCTGAATAAAGACTGAGTCAGCAACTTCCCTCTTTCCTTTTTTCAGATATCCTTAACCTCTGGGACTGAATCACAGGTCTGCCATGGACTTCTGCTTAGTCTCTTTTCAGGGGCACATGGCTTTTAAGTATTTTGAACAGAAAAACCTAACCCACATACCTCACTTTCCTTCGTTTTCAAAGCCAGGGTTAACCCTTGGATGGTTTTGTCCCGTTTCAAAGCGTTTCTCTTCTCCTCCAAAAGCTCCATCTCCCTTGCACAAAGTTCCTCCTGGAGTGACTGCAAATTTAAAATCATAGAATAATGGAGTTGGAAGGGACCTGTATGGTCATCAAGCCCAACCCGTTGCTCAAGACAGGAGTCCACATCAAAGCAGACTGGACAGAGGGTGATCCAGTGTCCTCTTGAAGGCCCGCAGTGTTGGAGCGCTCAGCACCTCCCGAGGTCACGGGTCCCACTGTCGTACGGCTCTAACAGTTAAGAGGTTTTTTTTGTGATATTCAGCCTAAATCTGGCTTCCTGTCGCTTCAACCCACTGTTGATTGTCCTTCACTCTGGGACGATCAAGGACAGATCCTGCTTCTGCTTTGAATAACTACCTTTCAAGTATTTGAGAAGTGTTCTCCTATCTTCCCTCCCTCTTCTTTCCTCACAGGGACTGGTTTCCAGACCCCTGATCATCCTTGCTGCGCTCCTTTGAACTTGAAGGCATCCTACGTATTTGAATCAATGCCCTCGTTACCCTGGAAGGCTCCAGATGTTCTGACCCCTTTTATTTTAACACAGGTGTGCACAGATGCTGTGCGGGTAAGCACTGGGGGGGTGAAACCAGAAATATTGGACCTTGCTCAGCCCAAAAAACGGCAAGCAGAAATTTTAGAAGCATCCGATAATACTTAAAAACTATGGAAGAAAGGGGAAGAGCTTAAAACACACCTGAATTCTTTTTTCTAAGTCATTTTTTTGATTGCAGAATTCCCTTCTGAGAGCCTAAAAAAAAAAATTCGCAATGTTGTGTTTTTAATCCCACCCAAATAGCAAATGACAACAGCATCACACATGAGGTTTGTGCATTCGTAATCACCAACACAGCAAAAACTCTGAGATGGGAAATCATTTTCTTTATCTTTAACAGTTGGCAGAAGATCATGAGGACTAGAACTTTGAAAAGGAAAATCCAGGATTAAACAGGGGCTTCTTCTATAAGATCTTAACAGCCCTTCAGATGTTTGTGGCCTACAATTCCTACCATCCCCAGCCAGCATAACTACAAGCGAGGAGTGTTAGAGGTTTATGTCCATTAACAGAGTTGCTCACCCCTGCCCTAAAAGCTGTGATAGTGGGAGGGTAAAATACAAGAGGCTTCTGGACTGACTGTAGACCCTGCAGCTTTCCAGTAAACGCTGGAGAGAACATAGGAGTCGTAACTGTCTTTCTGTTTTGAAACTGTATTTGCAAAACAGATTTAAAACGCTGAACGAGAGCAGATGTGTTTGTTTGCAATTATCCCATCTTCCAGCCAGAAACGGTCATCAGAGCTGGTAAAGTCCCAGCGAAATAATCACAGAAACTACCGTTCTATCCTTGAACGATACGGAACGATACTTGAAAATTCAGCTAAGTTTTCACTGTATGCAGAAAGAGGAGAACAGAGGAGGTGAAGACAAAGCGGTCTTCTCTAGGAGAAGGATCCACCGTTTTTGGAAATACCCCTAAACCTTCCCCAGCAGTCACCTCACCTCAAGTTCCTCCTCTTTTTCATGCACGCAGGAGACAGGCTGCGCATGGGCTTTCTCTGCTGACAAACTCTCCTCCGACGGCTGCGACTGAGATGCAGCCTCTTCCAAGCGCTGGATTAGGGCCTCTTGCTTTTTCAGCGACAGACTCAGTTGCTCTATTTGTCTAAAAACAACAAAGTTGAAATGTTACAACACAGGCAGGACTGACACATCACAGCATAACATTCAACCGACACACTTGGATGGAGCTTGTTGGTACAAAGAAGCCAGGATCAAGCCATGGTTTCAGATGCTGGCTTATTCCTACAAACCATGGTTTACATATGCCAATGTTACTAAGCCTAAACATTAAAGAAAACCCAGCTGTAACAGGTTAAGAACTGGAGAGGAGTGCTGCTGATATTCTATTTGTGGCATGCAAACAAAAAGAAACAGCACAAAAGCTCAGGATTTGCTAAACCTACATGCACAGTGAGAAACCATGGTTTCCTGTTACTTCTGAACTAAAGACCAAAGATCCACATTAATATTAAGGACAAATGCATCTTGGTCTCAAGTTAATGTATTTTTCCTCCCAGAACTAAAGACCAAAGATCCACATTAATATGTTGTCTCAAGTTAATGTATTTTTCCTCCCGCTATGGGATATCCTCAGAAGTACATGCCTCTGCATTCAGAGTTGCAAATTAAGTCCATATTTACCCTTCAATGACCAATCAGGTCACAGAGTCTAAACAAAGCAAGCAAGCAAGGAAATATCTAATTAGAGAAAACTGGGTGCTATGACCGTATCCCCACTTGAGGAAGCACCTCTGTCAAAAACGGGATGGGTATCTGACTCTGGGACAACCCAGAGAACAAGCCAACATGACCAACATAATGAAAAAGTAACCCATGTAGATCCGCACCGATTTTTCTCTTCGAGCGCCGCCACCACGTCCATATCCTTCGCCTGCATGTTTGTTATCAGCGCAAGCTGCTGCTCAGCGGCTAGCCTCAGCACCCTCTCCCGTTCCGTCATCGCAAAGGATTTCGCGGCTTCCTCGTGCGCCATTTTTAGCTCCTGAGTCCAGAAAGGAAAACAGCCCAGTCAACAAGCTGTTGAGGCCAGGATCATGCGTAACTTTTTTTTCAGGTATCATCACCCCTCCCAGGCCTCAGGGGTGAGTTGGTGGGTATCCAGTGAGTAAAATAATAATAAGATGTGATCCAGTGTCCTACATCAGCCTAGAGAATGTATTTCCAGAACCCCATTCCTCAAAGTAGAAGATTGGAGAGCCAGGAAATAGAAGAAGAGTGAAAACTAATGGTTTGCTCTCGAGAAGACACAGCTAAAGCCCTCCAGTCGCCCTATGGCCCAGCATCTTGTCGGTAGTCCCAACTAGAGTACCGTAATTGGGCTGAAATTCTGTCCCACCATGCTGCCAACAGTGTAACTTTTAGGGGCAAACGGCGACGTTAAGAGACCTCCATCGATACTGTAGGTTGCAGACGGGTCCCGTGACACCTACGGAGATGTCTTCCTTTCCAGCAGAAACCTGACAAACACCAAGAGTCTCACCTCCTCTAAAAGGCTTATCCGTCGTGCCAACGTTTCTTCCACCTGCTGGATGTTCTGATGGGCCTCCTCCTTCAGGCGCTGAATCTCGGCATCGCCGCCCTGCGACAAGCTCTCCAACACTTTGCTAGAAGAACCAAAACACAGATCCCTGTTCAGCGCAGAAAGTCGCCAACAGTGCTGATCAACTAGCTAGCGGCAGCAACAAAAAATAATACGATGGAGTGCCAGAAGCGATAAATGTCTACTGACATCAGAAAGACTGCCATGTTTCATATAGCTTTGGGCACAGCCGCCTATACAGCCTTAGGAAGCCAGCTTGCGTTGGGCAAAGGAGCTGCAAGTCACGGAAACTTATGCCAAACAAGCAAAAGAAAGCAGACTTTAAGGTATCACAAGATTCTTTGTCACTTTCTCTGTGACAATCTGATTATATCCTAATCACACCCTCACGTTACACCTCGAAAGGTTGTTCATAAAATGAGGAAATGACCTATGCATGCTAGCCAGCTACGCTCAAGCGTTCTTTGTCATCAACATGAAGAACTGTTTTGCTTTTTTCTCATCTTCTTTTCTTTTTACACAACCAGAGTCCAAAATCCTTCCCAGCCTATCCCAGATTCCTGTACACCCACCCACAAGAACGATCTTATGGTGACTCTTGCTGTAAACATCTGGGGGGACGGACTGAAATAACGAAGTTGTCGGGGGGAGATGATCTGCCAACAGCCAACCGGAGGAAGTAGCTCCCAGCAAAAGGCCTGAGGCTATCTTGGCCAGATCTTCCAAGGACGGAAATGCGGCCCGTTGGATAGGAGGGTGTCTTTTGCAGGAGAAAATCCAGGCACCAGCCCCAACTGGATGAAGAGGGCACAGGGTAATGGATCTAAGCAGCGGAGTGAGGAGGGAAAGGCCACCCAACGGAGAGACGGGCACATCTTTGGTGGGAATGAGAATGAAAAACACTGCAAAGCAAGGGAGCGCTTACGAAGCTTTGACAAGCAGCCGGTCCCGCTCCTGCAGTTCTCGCTTCAGGCTCTCCAATTCGACTTTCAGCTCAATGTTCTGGTGGGGAAAGAGAAAAAGGGGGAACCCCGTCAGCTGGCTTGGCTCCGGAAGGTTACGATTTTCCCCCTGCCTCCCCAGCGCCAGAACGGGCGGTGTGCGTGCAGATTGACCGATTCATGTCCAGCAACTGGGGAATCCAAGAGAGGTATGCAAAACTATGCACGGTGGGAAGAAAACTGGCATGGGGCTCCTCTCCCTGCTCTCATAATTCTAGACCCCAACGAGATTGTCTGCCAAAGTGGAAGATTCAGGAAACATAAAAGGAAATACATCTTGACAATCATAGAATAGTGAAGTTGGAAGGGGATTACGAGGTCATCAAGTCCAACCCCCTGCTCAAGGCAGGAATAGAAATTAACAGATATCTATCAAGTAGTTGTCCAATTTCCTCTTGAAGGTTGTCATCATTCTTACCAGCACACCTCCAGAGCCCACCTCTCCCCAAACACAGCTCCACACCATTTCCTAGGGATCAGAAGGTACCATCTGCAAAGTATTTTAAGATGAATGTCCTTCATTCCCACACCGATTTAATCGCCTGGTCATTAGTCATCCCTTCTGTTATCTCCGTGCCAGCCTCTTGGGACCGTTTTCCTTCCCATCCGGGCCACCTCATTCTTTCTGTTCAATGACACTTCACGAAAGCACAGCCTCGGCTGTTTTGCTATCTACAGATCCTTCCCCTCCCCAGATACTAATAAGAGATCCTCAAGCAGGCTGCTTTGAGAGTCCCGCTCACTTGGGGAGCAGTGATCACGAAGCAGGTTGTGGGTCAAGGAACCGGACAAGGGCCTTGAACAAACCATCGTTCGCAACTGGCGCGGCCATGGTTCTGCTCCATAATCACACTGAGCTCGGCCAGCCCGTGAGGGAGAGGGCTTAGAAGAACACAGAAATCAAAGGAGACCTGCAGGTCAAAATGCAGGCTTTAGTAGAGCACAACTGGAACTGCTCACGGAGGCTGAAGGGAGATCCCACCTGGGATTGAGCAAACATCTGGCGCGAACGACAAGCATCCGTCAGAAAAGAATAAGCAGCTCTTATAAAAGTTGAGGGAGGAGGGCAAACTTTGGCCAGTCTTGAAATCCCAGGAGCCTTTTCTCCACCTTCAAGATTTTCTAGGGAGGTCCTTCTCTCGGTTCCACCACCTTCCCGGGCTTGCTTGGTGAAGCCACGCAAGAGGGCCTTCTCGGTGGCGGCTCCCCGGCTTCGGAATGCCCTGCCCCGAGAAGCCGGGTTGATCCCCTTCCCTTTTGTCCTCCCGTCATCAGGCAAAGACCTTCCTCTTCCGGGAGGGAGTAAAGCTATCTCAGGAATGCTGGTTCTTAACTGATGGGCATGAAATGTATTTTCATTGTTCTTACTCTTGATTGATTTAACCTTTGCGGATGCTTCACTGTGCTTTAAATATGATGATGATGATGATTAGCTTTATTTATATGCCGCATTTTTACCAACAAGGGACCCAAAGCGGCTCACATTAAAATTCACATAATTTTAAAACACAATGTTAAATATTAAAAGATAAATTAAACAATATATGATTTAAAATACAATTAAATGATTAAAACATGGAAAAGATTAGAATTGTCTGCTGAAACCGGGTTCAGGGATTTAGTGGTAATCGTTAAAAGCCTGCCTGAAGAGATGAGTCTTCCGAAGGATAACAAGGAAGGGGCCCTCCTGATCTCCCGAGGGAGAGCGTTCCATAGCCTGGGAGCTACCACCGAGAAGGCCCTCTCCTGTGTCCCCATCAGCTGGGCTTGGGCTGGCAACGGGACCGAAGGTCTCCTCCGCTGATCTTAATTGTCGAGAAAGTGCATATGGGGAGATAGGGATCTTCAGGCAGCGGTGGATCCAAGCTGTATACGGCTTTATAGGTAAAGACCAGCACTTTGAAATGGGCCCAGAAACAGACCGATAGCCAATGCAGCTCTTGTAACTGGTGCATTATATCCTCCCTGTAGCAGGCCCCAATCAGTTGTCTGGCTGCAGAGTTTATATAGTGTTTTTAAATGTCTTATTTTACCTGCTGGAAGGCAGCCTATAAATAATTGAAATAAATGAGTAAGTGCTCGTTCGAAAAATCTGGAAGAGACCTCAGCTTTCTGAGGGCATTAAAGGCTATGCATAAACAGCTGGATTCTTTGGCACTCCCTTCGAGCCTCCCCATCAACATCTGCACCCCCCCCCAAAAAAAAATGGAAGGAGAGGACTATCTCTAGCCTTCGTTTCATCGCCTCCTTCTACATCCTTCCAGAACTAAGAAGCCCAAGAAACACACGCAAGAGAAGCTGACAGCTTCTATTAACACGCATCGTCGTTCTGCTGCAGTTGGTTTGATGTGGGTGGATTATAATGTAATTTCAGAGAGCCTTTGTTTTACCGATAAGAGAGTCACGCCGAACAAGCAATTTAGATTAAGTGGGAAGGCAGCCCTTTGATTAGGACTTCCTACTAATGCAAGTGTTTTGTTTCTGCATCGAGACGGTGTCGCTTAAGAAGTAATCCCACACACACCCTATAAAGGTCATGCCAAACCCTTTATTGCTGGATGTTCCACAGTTGAAACGGAAAGAAGTCACTCCCTCGAAAACTCGGATACCCAAGGATTAGGGTCCGTGTGGATCCAGGGTGAAAATGAGGAGGGGGAGAAATGGGGTGCAAAAGAAGCACATAGAGCGCAACCTTACACAAGGGTATTTAGAAGTAAATCCTTCTGTGGTGGCAATTTATGCCTCCCCATACCCACAACGTCAAAAGGGTAGCGACCAAACTCTTCAGATACTCCTAATGTGAGGAGACCTACTGAATCAATGGGTCTCCCCTGAGTTCTGACTTGACGAATCTCTCCATTGATTTCATGGGGCTACACTAATTAGGTCTAGGTGGACTGAACTCAAAGACTATCAGGATGGTTTGCCCTTCTATGGATCCACCAGCTGGGAAAACATCGAGGGCTTTACATCTCTACCACTGGCGAAAGGATACTTTTAACATGGTATGGTTTGATCCTTTTTTAATATTTAATATTTACTGGTTTTAGCTTTTAAATCTTGCCTATTAATGATGGAAGCCACCTTGGGTCCTCTCTAAGAAGAAGAAAGATGGGGTAAAATATTGTAAATAAATAAAAGAAAATATTGCTGAGTTCGGAAAAATGAAATGAGACCATGACGCAAATCTTGTTGCCGTGTGTAGCAAATTGCATTGGAGCAGGCCCACTGAATGAGGGGGAATCTAGTGCGCCAGTTCTTTAATTCAAATGGATCTACTCCAACTGTGACTTACTACAGAAAAATAAGTCACAAAGTTGGCCTATCTGAATCAACTGAAAATCTTACGAAATCCCTATGGATTCAGGGGCCTTCCTTAGTGTGTTTTACTACATCAAGCAAGAGGATTTTGGCCAGTGATTTAAACAATCAGGTGAATGGGGCAACTGTGCTTGTAAGAAGGCTGGAAGAGCATTCCCTGCCTCAACGTCCATCATCCTGAGACATCACACCCACTGGTTAGAGCTGCAGTTCCAGGGGGCGCCATCTTCTTAACGGCGACACCACCTCTGGGCTTTACAGCAAATCGCAACCGTTTCTGAATACCTACAATTCGGTAGACGTCTTCATTGGGGCCATCAAATTTCTGCTGCATGCGCTCTTCCAGGAAGTAGATGCGCAGCTTGAGGTTGAAGTTCTCCTTCCGCAGCTCAGTGATTTGCTACAGGGGAGGAAGGAAGACGGGGTGAAAGACAGCCCCACGCCCCGCAAACACGCAATTTGGAAAGAAGGGAAGAGATCCCTCGAAAACCGGGGATCATTCTTATGACCTATATAACTATCTTTGTTTTTTGCCACAGTTCAAAAGATGTCCAATGCTAATATCGTAGATCCGTGACTCCCAGCCTGGAGTCCCCAGATGTTCTTGGACTAAAACTCCCAGAAGCCTTCACCGCAAGCTGTGCTGGCCAGGATTTCTGGGAGTTGCAGTCCAAGCACATCTGGGGACCGAAGGGTGGGAACCACTGACATACACACATTTATCTATCCATCTCTCATATCTACTGGATTCTTTGCATAGCAAGTGTGTTTGGTTCTACCTCCCCTGCTGCCTCTTGCTTTTCACAGCATGAGTGGCTTCAGCTCTGAGAATATTCCTTGTCGAAATGTCCTCTGGTAACATCCGCCCACCCTAGGTGACACCCGATGGACACAAATGCAGATCAAGGTTATTGTTAATTGTTTGTCAAATGCCTTTTTCTTAAAGCAACTCAAGGCCTCTTACAGTAAGGACACAAACATTAAAAACAGAAGGAAAAGCAGTACTTCCATAATCTAAAACGATGACTAAAGAATAATCCTCCCTAGATGGGAATCATCTTTTTAAAAAAAAGCCTCCCATTGAAACTTCTTATTTTATTTTTAAAACCTTTTTGGGGTTTTCCATACAGAGAATTCTCAGAAATGGTTTCCCCTTCCCTGGGACTAGTGTGCAGTTTGCCCCAGGCCACCCTGGCTGGTTCTTCTTCCAGGAGGGCCGGGGGGGGGGAATCGAACTCGCGGCCTCTGGCTCCACAGCCAGAGACCTCTAACTCACCGAGCTATCCAGCCAGCCCATTGCAGCTAACACATCTTTTTTTAAAACAACTCCTCAATGGAAGCTAAGAGGAGGCTCCCCCCCCCCACGAGTGTGACCTCCGCCCAGAAAGGAGCCAATTTTTCCATCGCTTCCACAGAATAAAACTTTCTGAAACCAAGAAAATATTTCACAAGGGAGACGGGATTTCCTCTTTTTGGGACGAAAAGGGGCTGAGAGGGGTTCGGCACTTTAAACCACTTTAGGACACTCCAGATGATCCTTGGGCGAGGGAGACAGGAAACGGCAAAGACCAGCAAGTAAACCGATCTTCTCCCATTGAAGATCAACAGCAATGGCAAGCCGATAAAGGCACACACACACACTGAACAGGACTTCTTATCCCACTGCCTTGCACTGCGTGTAACTTAACATTCTCCCAGGACAGGAGGCAAATCAAGAGAGCTGCATTCGAGGGAAGCGAAACGGCCTGTTAAATTTTTTAAGAGTATGAAACATTCATTCCAATCAAGCAACCAGCCCCCCCCCTTCCGCCCTCGGCTTTCCAGGTGCTTTCCGAACGGAGAAATCTAATACGACGCTCATAAAGTATTGACGCCTTCTGGGCCATCAAAGGAATGAGCAGGTATAAAATGTTACCTACAACGCAACAGGACCACAGCTCTAACCACTGGTCTTTGGTCTTTTCACCTAAAAGTAGTCAAGGTTGTAGTCCTCATGGGTCTGAATAAAAAGGATGAACTAAGCAGGGAGAGGGAAGCCACCTTATGGCTGAGTTAGACTCGTGACCACCTGGTTTAATACTGGCAGCAGCTCTCCAGGACTTCAGCTTCGGCCATGAACGGTCGCCTTGAAAATCTCTTTCTCTTGCGATGGGTGAACAGGGAATGCCTTCAGTCTACAGCAGACTGAACCACCTAGGCGCTAGCAAGTAGGTCTCCAAGACTCCGGCACTCACGTTCTCAAAATCCTTCATGGTCCGCGCCCTCGTGGGTGAAACAGTGTCTTCCGCCACATCTGGTAACGCTGGAAGATGGACAAAACAATTAAAACGTGGCTGGACTCCAGCCATAATTCGTGTTCTATATTTAGCAGAAATTTCAAGGTGGGAGGGGAACCATGTTAGTCTGCCACAGCAAAAGCAACCAAAAAATATCTCCTGCCGCCCTTCAAAACTCAAGAGTTCTGTTTGCAACACAAGCCTTGAATCGGTCACAATGCCTAGAGCTAGTGCATTCAATAGCATGGGTTCGCCCAGTATTGGGTCCCTCGTTGGGAGAACTGTGGCATGTAAATAAATAATAAAATGATACGTTTTGATGTTTTTCTATTCCTTTTATAACAGACGCCTGATCTCTGTCGGAAACCAGGTTTTGAACCACCTCACCCACTCGGCTTTGAAAGCCGTTTGGGGGTTTTGAAGGGCTGGAGGGGAAAGGGGTCCAGTGGCCTTTGGGAAATGTAATCACAAAGACCCCTCCAGCATGCTGAAGGACTAACGTGGTCTCAACGTGAGCAGCACTGCAGAGTTGTGGATCATCGACTCCTAGAATGACGGCCCTCCAGCATGCTGAAGGACTAACGTGGTCTCAACGTGAGCAGCACTGCAGAGTTGTGGATCATCGAATCCTAGAATGACGGAGTCTGAAGGAGCCTCGAAGACCATCAAGTCCAACCCCCCCCCGCCCAAGGCAGGAATCCACGTCCAAGCAGATCGGACAGAGGGTGGTCCAATTTTCTCTTGATGATCTCCAGTGTTGGAGCACTCACCACCTACCCCTGAGATAATGGGTTCCATCATCGTACTGCTCTTACAGTTAACAGCAGCAAAGTGGAGCTGTTTGCCTCACTTCCACGGCCTCATTTTTCTCCCTCGCTGCTCTAGATCAGTCCTTGGGGTCCCCAGATGTTCTTGGACCACAACTCCCAGAGATCCTAGCCAGCACAGCTGGCAGGGAAGGCTTCTGGGACTTATAACCCAAGAACACCTGGGTGAACCAAGGTTAGGAACCACTGCCCTAGAAGCCCTGACCTTTGGCTGAGCCAGCTAAGGCTTCTGGGAACTGTAGTCCAAGAATACCTGGGGCTCCATGGTTGAAAACTACGGCTTTAGATCGTGCCCATGATGATCCTCTTGCTTCATGTGCTGAGCTCCAAAAAAATAAAAATGCACACAGTAAAACTGCAGAAAGCACACCATATGAAACCTGAGGACCTAACAGGAGTCCAACAACAGATTACACAAAAATGAGCTGCAGATTATTACACTGACTCCAACACAGTGAAAGAACCCGCCAGAAAGAATAGGTGCGCATCAAATCTGTGCCCCCAATCCACTCTCCCATTTCAAGTTTTGCTTTTCGAAGAAGAGAAGCACTTAGGAAATTTAAAGGAGAGGGAGGGAAAAGTGGCTTTTTCTGAAAACTTTACCTCCGCCACCTCCCAGGCGTCCACGAATTTCATCCCCTGAGACATCGGGAAGTTGGGAAAAATTGACGCTGTGAAGAAAGAAGACGGTTCTCTTATGGCATGCTTTCCAAAGTCATACATACACCGCCTCATGGCAACCCCGTTCCCAAAAAGATTTAGGATCCCTCTTTTCAGGGATCCCATGTTTTTTTCAGATGCATGTGTGAAATCGCACAAAGAACAGGATATAGGAGAAAGCTCACTTACATCAACTCTACTAAGGAGGAGGAGGAGGAGAAGAGGCCACAGTTGTCGCCCTGTACGTAAGTGCTGGAGTGCACATCCCGTGAGGCCTAAACCCAAGGGAGGGGACGAGAGAGGCCATCGATGTAGCCCCATACATAGTGCTTGAGTGAACATCCCGTGAGGCCTAAACCCAAGGGAGGGGACGATGGGAGCCGGAATCCAAATTTGTGTTGTTTTTAAAAACGTTTCTGTCTCATTTCCTTATTCGCCCCTTTTTTTTTCCAGGCTACCTTGGGTCCCATTATGTGGGAGAAAGTCGGGAGGGGAGACAAATTAAATAAATCATCCAAAAGTTTAAATGGGAGAAGGGAACCAGGTCACCCGCCACCCCGGCTAGCCTCAAGCATACAACAAAGAAGCCCCTCCATCCACTTGCTCAAAGGCAGCCTATGGCATCCCCAGCTAGACTGCCCCTAAACCGGGAGGCTCTCCTTTAAATAGCTTGTCTCACGGCCTCTTCAGGGGAGCTTTCCCAAAGCCTCTCCTGTCTTTCTGAAATAAAAACACAAACAACTCCCCAATGTCTCTCTCTTTATATATATGGTGTATATTGTTGCTGTTGTTTAGTTGTTCAGTCAGAGAGAGATACATACTATACATGTTTGCATACATATCTTGTATTCACGGATACATTTTTACATGTGTGTGTTTGTATGCATGAATTACAAGGCACATACATATATAAACATGTTTAGTGTAGACACGCACACAAATATAGAAAATACTAAAAAAAGTAATGACACATAAATGCATATTACATATATTCTATTAAGTGTTACATATATCACAATACGTGTCATAGATTTAAGCATCTGAATATTTATTAAATATCTGCTTCTGTGTGTATCTGTTATGTTCCCACACATATAAGGTCGTGTGTGTGTGTGTTTTGTTTTGTCTGGGGTGTGGGTGAGTGTCATATTTACAACACCCACACCCACACAAGTACGTAGTAGGACTTAGTAGAGCCTTTCTTAGCCCACCGACGCAGACGAACATCTATTGAACGACATAATACAGGTATTTTTTTT